CTACGTCGCCTGCAACCAGGCGCGTCCCTGGGCGACCTACGCCGCAGGTTCGTAGGCCTGATCGATTTACTTGTATGGCAACGAACAGTCTCATTTATACACTACAGAACCCCCGGCTGGCCAACTACGTCTCGCGAACTACACTGTTGCCAACTACACCGCGAAGCTCTTCTCGGCCGTCGCAGACATGTTCCCCTCGAACATCATCAGCACAGGCGGTGACGAAGTGAACTTAGTGTGCTACGAGGACGACTACGAGACACAGTACGACTTGAACAGCACTGGTCGCACGCTTAACAGCGCGCTCAACGACTTCGTCATGGGCACGCACGGCGCGCTCATTGCTAAGGGCAAGACACCTGCCGTATGGGAAGGTACGTCAGCTCGGCGAATGCACGATAGGGATACGGAGTGCCATGTTACTGTGCTACAGAGATGGTCCTCGACTTCAACCTGACATTGTCTAACGAGACGATTGTCTAGTGAGTGGCCAGCAACCGATCGCAGGTCGCGTGCGTTCATGTATGGGCTTCTTAGCGTCTGGATTTCCTCGGACGACGTTTCTGCGGTCGTCGACAAGGGCTTCCGTGTCGTCCACGCTACGTCAAGCTACTTCTACCTCGTCAGTAATAGTTTATCCATCGCAGACATGGAACGCTTCTAACCGATTTCCGCTTCTCAGGATTGTGGTGCAGGTGAATGGATCGGCGACGACCCCAACGGGTTGGTACATCTCCCTTCCGTACGCGCTGATTACGGTCGCTGACAAGACCTTGCACCTACAGTAACAGCTGGTGCGACCCCTTCAAGACCTGGCAATACACATACACCTTCGACCCGTACGCGAACCTGACCTCCGACCAATACCACCTCATTATGGGCGGTACGTCCCCCCACTCGCATACGCACGCGCCCCCCTGACCGTATGCGTCTCGCACACAGGCCAAGCCAACATCTGGACGGAGCAAACAGACTCGTCGAACATCCAGTCGATCGTCTGGCCGCGTGCAGCATCTTCCGCGGAGGTCTTCTGGACCGGCCCCGGCGGGAACGGGACGACCGCGCTGCCGCGCCTGCATGCGCTCACCTTCCGCATGGTCCAGCGAGGCCTCAAAGCGATCCCGCTCCAGCCGTATTGGTGCGCGATCCGCCCGTACGAGTGTGACCTCTACTGGTAAAGGCCTCATGTTTCAAGTTGATATACTGGGCAATGGAAAATAGACTGGTGTGGGGACTATTCGTGACACCCTCCCCCCGGATTTGCGGACTTGTTTGGTACTAGTATTGTGGAGAGTTAGACACCGCCGAGGACAATAAACATTCCGTTTGGCTGGTACAGAGCATGCGCAGGTGTGCATTGAACGATGCTGGTCTAAGGCGGTATTGATGGTTGGAACCATCGGCGCACAATGTGTGTATGGGTTTGGTCGTGGATATGCTACGCTAGCGCTGTCGTATAGGGCTGATAGGTATACATATGACTGCAGGTTGTACAATGACGACGGTACTTCTAGTATTACACACGGAACCTTCAATTCAATGGGAAACCGTTGGGCAAGTAATCATGACCCATCCTCCCACTCGACTTCTGATATACGGTCCGCAGAATGAGTCCCCTTGCCTAGCCCCCGCTTCGGATCCTCAGCAAAACTCAGTGTGCTTGTGCGATCCTTCAACTGCGGAACATCTTGCTGGCTATCATCGCGCGCCTTCTCAGATGTCCCACACACATTCTCGTCGCGATGCGTTTCAGTGACTGTACTTGATTTTCGCGCGAATTCGCGAGGAAGCAGGACGGCGCGGTCCAACGCAACGGGCAGCCCACGATGTCTACCGCGGATCATGACCGCGCACAAAATCAGCTTGGACAGTGTGTGCAGTGCGCCCGAAAAAGAGTAGTTCGCCTGTCGCGCGATAAGCAGCGTTCCACAGATGGAATAGTGGCTTACATACGTAAGGGATGCCGAGCGACAGCCCGACTGTGCCATAGGCAGATACGAGCTCGAAGACTGCGACGTGAAGATGATATCAGGGTCAGGCCATGACATCAACTAACCGATACTTACTGAGCGACCATATATTGAACCAGACGGCATTATAGGTAGCCGCCAGCGGCGTGCGCTGTAAAGAAGTCAAGGCGAGAGTAAGCGTAAGTAGCAGGGGTTAGACGAACCTCGATGATGCAGAGCAAAAATAGAGATAGCGCCAGCCACCACATGTCTATAATCAACAGAAGTTAGATCGTGTTGTCAGATCTCATTCTGTGTCCGATCGCGGTGATGACATACCAAACGAAAGTTGCTTTCGAGCATGCCGCAGGAGATACCGGCCCCAAATCGCCACGCGGGATTCCTGTCCGGCGTTCCAATGAGCTTCGTCCAATATGTACTCATCTTCGCGGTCTCTATGCTTGTAGATACCCAACGCCCGTTCCTCGTAGACGTTTGTCGAGCGGACACTAATGCGAAAATTAAGGTTCTACATACGAGCCAATCGCGCCCATATCGTACCTCAGTGCAATCGGATAGATGGTGATGTACATGAGGATAACATCGAGAACTCTGAGTGTAGGACGCATCAGCAATCCCTAAGTGGCTGAATGTTAGAAATACATACTGAACTGCAGGAGCAAGAGACGACACAGCGATGGACTGAAAGCCTGAGCTTCGCACAGCTGCGGCCGCGAGCAGAGCATTGATAACCCTGACTCCAGTTGGAATCGAATCGATTTCCGGGTTGTTGATATTGAGTACCAACTCAGCTACAAAAGCGATTAGGCTACGAGGAGCCACGGCCTATGAGGATAGTGGCTTTGAGTCTCGTCTGTAACAAGCTCACTCGATGGAGAATTGGATCGTAAAGAGTATCCAAGTTTGGCTAGATGGGAAGAGATAAATGAAGCAACGTCGGGGATGATCCAGAAGGAATTGCAGCGTCTCATTTATGCGAGAATCCACTGGGCAAATTTTGGATAGGACCCAGCTGTCCATGGCGAGTCAATATCTTATCCCGCTGCGATGAGTGAAAGAACAAACATCATGAACCGCAAACTTTGTATGCGAGCCAAGCAGGACTATCAGATCTTGTACACAGAGAGGAGTAGGGTGGCACGACTTACAATACAGGCTACGGTCAAGGTCGTAAGTTCGTGCATGTAGCAAATAAATGGATGCACTCACGAATGCAGAGTTCCCGGCGAGGACACAGATGACGAGAAATATGATCATAGGGTATGCCTCACGGAATGGTATCATGTTTTGGTCGACAAGCGACATCCCGGTATTTGCCCACGCCCCAACAACCTGGAAAGCTGAAAACCTAACCGGAGCCTTCAGTAATAAAACACAGAACAACATACGGTCATACCATACTGGATTAATTACTCGATGCTGCTCAGGTGGTACAAGAATAGGTGCCCAGCGAGGTAGACTCATGTAGGGTGCAATTACGATGAAGGAGATCGTAAGTATCCCAAAGTAATACTGAGTGCCTTGTAAGCCATGGAAATCCTAAAAGGTAAAGAGTCTGACCAATGGAACGATCCATAGCAGCGCTGTTAATGCACGGTACTCGATCCCACCGAGCTCCTCAAGATGTTCTGTCGATAATTGGCTGAAAGCTGAATTTCTGCTAACTATGGCCTTGAACGGTAGATACGAGACATGCTTTGAGTTAGGAAGGTTCGATGGGGGCTGCGAACCCAACTCCGCTCTATTAACTTGTGGGATTAGCGTTTCAGTCCTCGGCATGGTAAACGATCGCTTTAGTCGGCGATGCAGCCCGGGAAATGTCGCCTTGAGCACATGTGAAACGATACGCGGGGGACCAGGAAAGCCACCAAACTCGTCAGGTTCGCCCACGCTCGGAGATGGCGATCTGTGGGAGCAGGGGCTCATCCGCCCACCGCTGACGCATGGGAAAGGGACCGAAGAGCTACATGCTTGAGGGCCGATATCCTCACGGACTTCGCGAAAGATAGACTTGCCCACAGGATCAACAGGATGCGGGTCGATATCTACACGGCGAACCATGTCGGGATGAAGTTTTCCGCGTTTAGGTTTTGACAGTGCCGAAACAGCACCATTATCTTTGGTTGAATGTTCTTCGACTGGATTATGGCGTGTCTTATGCAACAATACATCCCTAACGACACGCAATGACGCTACAGGATCGCCAGTGATAGCGCTTTCGTCATGAGTTCGCTTTCCTTTGAGTGACACGGTTACTATGTGCTCTAGGTGGTTGAGGAAATATCGCCTGACCACTTTCTAATCAAGATTTTGTAGATAGGCGCTACAGGTTACACACCTTCTGAAATATACGACAATCCACGACACGAATACCTAGTTCAAAATTTACGCTGGGTATGCACATGCTTGTATAATAAACGAGCTTGAATAAACTGACCGGATTTCCTGTTATTTCGAGAATGATCAAGATTGCCTGCTGCCATGCAGTGAGGCTACTCAGGTCGACCGTCGTGAGTCCCGTCCCGGTAGCAGCGCTTATGCATATAAACAGCGAGTCAATGAATGTAACTTTGTATTTCCCATTGGAAGCACACAGGATAGCAGCTAGGATAAGAGGAGATATCACACTATAGAATAGGTGTGAGAGGGTAAATTAGGAGTGGACAATCAGCATACATACAAGAGAAGCAAATGTATCCGGTAAAAGTTCAAACGTTTTCTGAGGTCGGACAACATTATATTGTAATATTTCCTTGTCGCGGTCGTTGATCACTGCCGTTTGCGCCGCCAGAGAATACAAGCCGGTTCGAGGGTCCTGGGTGGGGTCTGAAGTACGGAGGAGGTTCTTTTGAATCGTTGCAGTATTGATGAGGTCGTTTCATGAAGGTTATTGACGCATATATCTTCTCTAAGAGGCTGTTATGCTGGTTCCGTAACAAAGAGAAGGTTGAAAAAGAAGATTTAAGGGTGGAACGAACAAAGACAGTGAGGTGTGAGACGAGGCTGGCATAATCGACGACCATCATCTTGGCTGCACGTGGTCGTTTAAGCTTAGATCATGATCATCAAGTATGGCTAAAGCTACATAGATTTGAAACCGCTACACGCGGACGCCCATAGGAACTGAGGAATGGCCACAACGGACGTGGTAACTGAATATAAGCACTTTCTAGGAAGTCAGAGGGATGCTAATGAGAAGTCAGAGAATTACATGTGATGATCTGGGTCTGTCACTGTGAGCCATTTCTGCCGTAGGGTAATTTGATTCGTTCATATATGCATCAACATCATTCAACTAACGAGGTCATTTTTTCAGTATCTGTAGTCTAATCGCTGATCGAGATTCCAGACTACACAAAGTCGTCGAGATGCCGGAGAATGTCGTAAAGGCGACCATTCAGTGCATGTATACGAGACTGAATGTACCCAAACCCATGCTTCATAATGATCATGTGCTGAATGTGAGTGTGCTCTCGCAGATTTTGAGACGCACACTGCGATCCGCAGGCCATTCAAACCGAATGTTATCCAACGTAGCCGCAAGAGTCATACGAGCTGAAGAAATCGTCAGCCGCAATCTAGTCAATGGCATAGTGCCTTACCTTCCTCCCCTACGTTGAAGTTAAGCGTCTTGTAGGGCTCAGATCCGTTGTGCCCTTGCCGCGGGGGGGCTCCAGGGGTGAAGAAACTCGTGAAGCTCGAACCGACCTTCCAGACCAGGACGGCCGACTCCTCCAGAGAGACTGTCACAAGTCGCCGGCCATCAGGAGAGAAGCTCAACCCTGCCGTCCGCTTCTTGTGACCTTCCAATACATACAGACGAGTCGCCGTCTTCAAGTCGTACATGACAACAGCACCTTCGCTCGTGCCAACAGCGAGACGTTGGGTAGGCATATGGAAGTCCACAGTTGGGAACCTGTTATGGAGCATGGGAAGCCGTGACAGCAACCAGAAAATCGGCCTCACGTCTGTACAACATGCCCAAGAATATCTGTTGCCGAGTCCAGCACTGCATCCCGGTTGTGCGTCGAATTGGGATCCAGTGACTTCACGACTGCTTCCACAAGTCGGGGAAGGTTACTGTATAATACGAGTGGTTTCTAGGGACAGTGAGAAATTTACAGAAGAAGGAACATCTGACTTACCTTTCGGATTAAGAATATGACTAGTTGCATTATCGACTTCCGATGTTGCACGCTTCGTGGATGCAAGATATCAATCGTTAATGTGGTCATGAAGAGTGGTGTGTTCGTCGAAGCAATGTACAAAACAGCGGAACGAGCCTGAAGTCCAAGGTTATGAAGAGAGATGGCTTCCTTTCGCGTCGTTGTCGCAAGGATGAACAAAGCCCGGAGCATTTCCACGGCGTCGACATACTGTTGCCATACAGGGAAGCCCCGAGAACATAAATCAATAGCAAGGAACCGATAGGGCGATTCCTCGTCGTGGAGGTATGAAGCAATTGACTTTGAGATCTCAATGAGAACACTTGGAGATATATTGATTGGTATTGCGAGCTATTGTAGTGAGAAAACCGTACCTGGTAGAAAGGAGACTGTACTTCTCCACTGCTATGAATCCGCAAATGAGCAGAGCCATGGAATCAGACAAGGACTCAGGTTCTGCGTGAGATCGTGTACTAGGTACTATCGATTTTTCAGAAAATGTTCTATCACATAAATATAAAACCGTACGGTTATGTTGCCAGTATTCCACGATCTGGGCAGTATCGTTGTTCGATAGTCGCATCACACCAACTTCGAACAACAAACGTGCCGCAGCCCTAATTTCAGGAACTAAAACAAACAGTGAGAGTCTCCAGATATGCCGTATTGGCGAACGCACCGGTGGATTGCAGCCAGCACTTTGCTAAATACGACAGGCTCGGCGATTTGTACGCCGGCCCGACGACTTCGGGCAAGGAAGTCACGTAGAATGTCATCACAGTATCTACATCCGAATTGTCTTCCAGGCCTGGTTTGAAAAGTAAGCTAAGGACGGCAAGTGACAACACAAAAATGAACACACAAACCTTCCCTATGGATGAGTGCCTGTAACACAGCAACCAGTGCTAAAGAGCGCGAAGCTGACACTTCAGACGACACTGTCCATGCATCCAAAGGATCGAGTCGAGTGAAGAGACATGCGGTTAGCTGACTACAATTATCATCACTCTTAACTTAGACAATATACATGGTGTAAGAGGCGCTTACCTTGCGTATCCTACAAGGCCGTAAGCTGTATCGACTTTCAGCTTCTCGCGACACATGATATCGATCTGCCCGCTGAGACCAAAAGTTAGAAGAACAGACAGCATTGAACGGAGATGATCAGTGTGCGAGCGATCTGCGCTAGAGGCAACTGGCCCTGAAGCAATACAAGCTCGAATGAATGCTTCTACATTAAGTATCAACATTGACGCTGTTGAACTCGGATCAGGTGCCAGCCTTAAAGGTGCAGGCCTTAAGAATGATTCAATGGCACACACCTGAGTCAGGTCCGACAGTGCTCCCCATGATTGAGAGTATAGCTTTTGACGGTGAGGTCGTTGGACCAGCGGACCTGCGACAATCCCTAGCATCAGGTTTCTCGTCTCAGCTGCACTCATTCCGGGGCCACGCACCATCCGTTCCATCCGTCTTGCTTCAAGAGTTCATCGGCTTTGTCTGCATTCATCGACCGCCGAAATTCCATAGTCTTGGAGTCCCATAATCGCGCTCGACCATCTGAATATAGAAGCAAGATGTTGTCATCTCCCACATGGATCCTGCTCAAGGGCGCCGCTGATGCGGGGACAAGAATAATGCTATAAGCGGGACGTCAGAATAGCTCGCACGCTCGGTGACAGACAAACACACAATTGATAGCCGTCTACGGTAATGATTGCGATCGTCCCGTCCTGGGAAATACATAGCGAACAGCCTTTCAGGCGACCAACGTGGTCGCCGGATATCTGTATGACTTGGGCGAGAGGCGTTGTAAACACAATCCACCGTGCATGGAGTTGGAGCGAGCTGAACAGGAGCGGATTAGTTGATTCTGGGTATTACAAAGTCGCATATACTTGCTGGAGGGACCAAATTGCAATAGAACCATCGTCAGCTCCACCCACAATGAACTTCTCCCTTGTTCTCTCGTCCTCAACAATATGCAGCGAAGTTATGAATCCTTGTAGGGGAACGTCGGACTCTAAAGAGGTCGGTGTGACTGACTTGCCTGATAACTGGGCGAAGGATGAGCGTCGGAGACGACCGTCACCTATACAAAGAGGTATTAAGTACTTGGCTTACCAAAACGGTTGATTGTAGGTACTTACTAAGACCTACTATGATGAGATCCAGGTCGATAGGGAGCATGCATGTGATGTGAGGAGCGGCATAATGATATTCACGCATCTTCCACAAAGTGCGAGGATGAACTTGTTCGTCCAAGACATCGAGAGGTATGTGCGAAATATATCTCTTTTCTTGCTTAGTTCCAGTCAAGAAGACGTGGTCTCCAAAAAGTAACGGACAACAGTCATGAGACGAAAGTTCAATGCTCCGTACTATGACCGGTCTGCGCGGAACAGAACTCGGTCAATGTTAATAGAACATAGGAGGCATGACACTCACCGAGTGCGTTGAATCACATTTCTGGAGGCCCCAGGTGAAACATCATCGGTGTTTTCATCAACCGCCACGATGCGGTAGGTTTTTAAACCTTCCTGCAGAAGTCGCTTAGATACGTAACACCGTTAGTACAATAATTCGCCTCACTGGGAGCATTACTATGAAGGAATCTACGTCCGTCCAATTTAAACCACAAATTTCCGCGAATAGATGCGTAAACAGGAATTTGAGTGACTGATCACAGACATCGAATGTCTATGTCGAGTTAAGGTTTTGGCTTCCGCATGAGCAGATGGGACTTACCGTTAACTCCGTATCCGACCAACATGCTATGCGAAGCGTGTCGCCAAAAAACATAGAACGCACGCCTGTTACCGATCCGTGTATTTGAATAATACCGAGATCGCTTGCGTCGCTGAGTCGTAGTGTGTAGGTGCTTTCCACTCCGTCATCTGAACCTTGTTCTTCTCGCGAAAGCGCCTTCAGCGCTTTAAATGGGTTAGGAATGGGCAAAGCTGTACTTGAGCTTGATTTAATCTTCTCAAGATCTGCCGGCGAACCAGGGATCGCTAATGTCAATGACCGTCGCATGAGGTGATGCGTAGACGAGATATGGAACAGAGCCAAAGATGCTGACACCAAGTGAATGTAATTAAGGATCTGATGCGCGATGTAGACATTCAAACATACCATCTGCCTCTTCGTGAAATACCATGGCTTCCGCCGGACCATCCATGTACCAATCGCCAATACGCAATAGCCTCATCTGACTACTGTCGATTTGGGTACCAGCTTGGAGTTCAAATGCGACTAGGCGTGTCTCAGCTTCAGAATCTCCGGTAGGCACATCAAGCATCTGGTTTGCAGAAGATGAAGAATCACTCGATGCGCAAAGCAACAATATATTGGACTGTGATATATACAAGTGGAATATACATAGTTAGCTGATACATCTGTACGGAATGACCCTTCGCACCTCTCTAATTGATGCAAGATGAAGGCTTTTCCATTGCCAGATTGTAGGAATAACAGATATGCGTCTGCTGCTTGAAGGTGGAGAAGCCCCCTCATCAGAGGCATGGGCAGATGCAACACATGTACCGTCGACGCTGGAAAGTATAGTAATTTCCCTGCATAATAGCATCAGGGCACAACGATCTGAAATGCGCGATGCATATAACTATACTCACCCTGTCCGCTGTAAGGAAATGATATAACGACCAATTTGGTAATCCAATAGTGCTGCGACAGAGTGCATGACCCCTCCAAATTGAGGCATGACATGACATTTGAGAGACAAAGAAGTGACCGGTCCCGTTGCTTCAATTGCAGAAACAGGGGCCAACGTAGGGGATGGTGGGGTGGAAACACTTGATCTGACGGATGAAGTGGAAGAGAGAGCTGCTGGGTTGCGACCACTTGTGGTTTGTGACGTCCGTTCACCACCGATCGTCAACAATTCACCAAAAGATTTCTCTTTCGCGCTTCTCCCTTTCAACATTCCCTTGAGCCGATCAGGTTCGTCTTCAAAATCGACATAATTCTTCGGGGCCTCGACCTGCTCCGTCGAAATGCATGATACGACGCGGGAGCGTGTTACATGAAACGGAGACAGACCTGATTTCGTGGATGATGGGGAGCCAGACCTAGAGTGTGAGTGTGGGCGATTCAAACCCGAATATCTTAATGGACTAGTTGGACGTGAAGACCCGTGGGTTTCCGCGCTCTTACTGTCAATTGAACTGCGTTTTCGGCGGTCAGGAAATGTTAACGGATGGAAAATGTAGATTGAGCCATCTTCGCATCCAATTGCTACGCCTTGATAGTGTCCTATAGATTCAGGGATGGAAGGAAATGCGGACGCGTTTGAGGAATATCCCCAGGCAACCAGACGAGTAGGAGAAGAAGACGAGCAGCTCCAAGAAATTAAATGTTTGCCAACATCATCGTTGCTTGAAGTTAGACCACCAGACGGAAATGCCAGAGGTAAAACAATCGGGCTGACGTCCATGACAGTGACGGTATCGGTCTAAGAATCGGTGAGTCCTCTTCAGAATCATGCAATGTTGGGGCGCGAACAAACTATTTCGTATTCCAATAGTCTGAAGTAGTAGCAAGCATAAGACCTACAGCATGGAGAAGATACAGGGAGTCAAGACGAAAGAATATCATTCTAGCCTGGTTCGCGCACGTGCTATGTGCCGCGTAAGCTTGCCATGGCCAATGCCAATGGCGGCAACCGGGGTGTCTACTTTCTTAGCTTGTACTTCGATGCAGTACTTCGATTGCACTTCACTTGTGTCGCGTGTTTTCTGCTTGGTACACTAGATGTTTCCGCACATTCTGACCGAAGGCATTTGTTTTCCGATACTGGCACGGACATGGCAATGGTCGACATTCAATTCAGTCGTGACTAATGGAAGTCCCTAGTAGATGCCCTTACGAGGGTCGACGCGAAGCGTACATACCAGTATATATTAATCTAAGGAAGGTCATAGTGTGTTTTCACCGTACGTGTGGTATTCTGTGTCCATTCGTTAAAGACGGATTCACTCCCTTGTGAGTTAACTTCGATCAATGGTGACGAGCTCTGGTGCTAACGCTATATTCCCATTACTGCAGTGAGTTCTGTCATTTGACCCAATGACCATTGATGCACGTAGTAAAGTGGCCAAAAGTTACGACCGTGCGACATGGCTGCATTGCTTCGAGAATGTGTCGCTGGATCACGTTGTAGATTGTCTGCCCCACCCTACGAGCTTTCTCCATTCAGTTTGCTTTCTGATTCACACTCGGGCTTAAATATCTTTCATCAGAACAACAGCATAGATCTACTCGCATTTTTACACCTACCGGCGGCCTTGACGGTACATCCACGGGATTCCTCGATGGCATGGGAGAGACTCGTGTGAAAGTCGAGCGGAAATCTAACTGATTTTTGCGTCTCTTCGCTGCTACAGACCGCTTTGGGCATTTCGGAACAATGCATCCTAGATGTCTTGGCAAAGAGGAATTGGATATCGTCGGGGCTTCCAGTCGATACCGCTGATCTTCTTTCTGCCGCTTGTGAGATTCTAATCATACGTAAACCACACATCGTACAGGTAATCTCGTATGTGGTCCTTCTGGAATGCTGATTATTCGCTTCAATGCACTCTAGATCCGCACTACGACCGCACTCGCGTTCATTCAAATGTAGATTGAAGTGGCCAAAAATTATGTGGCGCGTCCCCCCTCTGTACATTATCATCCACGGTTTGCACAGCATCTCTGCTGCTTTATGAGATGGCACATGTGCTACGCGCTGAAGGGGCGCAAACGCAAACGTCTAACGGTATGGCAGCAAGCACTGTAGCGGGCATGGTTATAGGTGCTTGTGAGTGTTTGACGATAGCATTATTGAAGACGTCTAATAAAATGCAACACATAGTGGGGCTTTTCGCATTGGTGCTCACGTATCAGCTTCTTCCGTCTCTGCATCGGAGGCGTCAGCCAAACAATACCATCCCCACTCCTTTTGTCCCTTCAGCCAGCCGTGGCACAACCATATTGCGCATAATGCGCCGTCTGATCGCTAGAATCGCTACCTTCCTTCAGCCATCCAAGTCCAAATCGGTTCCTTCGGAACCTGGCTCACAGACACATAAGCCCCTACGCTCTTTACACCTTCCTGCAGAACAGCAGCGCAGGTGCCACGCAGCCCGTGAAAAATTCGCTACCAAACTGCGTTTAAATCTATACGTTCCTCCCGTCGCGGACATCCTCTCTTCTAGAACCCCCCGTGATCGAGTCAATTTCGCCCGGCTGGATGATAGTATCTATCAGGATGCTGCATACCATACAGAAAAACCTGCTCCCGCTGTTATGTCGCCATGGTCTCCGCGCGAGCAGGACTACCCCTACTCGTCCGTGCCGATACCATCTCCTTGGCTCAGCAAAGGATGGGAACGCAACTCCCCTCCCCCGTTCTCACCGCCGCCAGCATATGTCCCTAGTACACCTAGGCGATACGGCTTCATCTGGGGACAGCCTGATCGCTCGCCGCTCACTGGTCCCGGCACACGAGACACTGTGACCGTGACAAAACATACGAGCGAGGCCATAGACCTATCAGAGATTGTGGTTTGTAACCCTGCTCCCGAGACTCCTGCAGAAGTATCTCAAAATGTATTTGTGATATCAGACGATGCAGACGCGCTTAGCGATAGTTCCAGTATTTCTAGTACGTGGTCGTGTGGCTCTGTGGTCAATGTGCTGTAAAGTTTAGGCCGCCATCACTGATAGCTGTGGCGCATAATACCCGGCGCCAAATCGGTGTGCAGTGTAGAGCTACCCAGCATATCTGAGGCCGTTACCATCTCATTGCGACTAGAATCTATTTGTAGGCTCATGTATTCAACTTCTCGATACAGATATACGTCGAGCCTAAGGTACATGATATACTGGTTGTTTACAGAAGACGTCTACACAACCGTGACAAAGGAATGACCGTTTCCTCAGTGGAAAAAGGTTCATTTTACAAGAGGACGAAAGGCTTCCTCAATTCAATTAGCACCTTTTCGACGCCTTTCCAGTGCTTTCCTATTCAGTGACGATTTCTTTGTTGTGCTACGTATCCTACGCGGCCTTCCATTTTGAGGCATGTTTGATCGTATAGGCGGCTGAGTATTATTAGTGTCGACCAGCAAGCTGGTGTGGTACTCATATTACTAGGTGCGCAGACTCTACTCCAGCTGCTCCCCTACTTCACAGAACACTGGCAGCTTCTGTCAAAAATCCAATGTCTTTTGTCCACACACTCATGTGATGTGACGCTTTGTCCTCCGTACAGCGCAGTGCAGCTTGTCATTGGTAGTCACGGTTACACACCCACGCTTTATCCTTGCGCTTTTTTGCACTGTACCTGCTGGCTTGCCACGAGTAATTGCTTTGTGACATTCATCGCCGGAAGTTTGTCGACGCGTTGAAGGTATGTCCCTATACTTGAGTTGCTGATGTTTCTGCTAATTTTAGCGAGAATGCTTCCAATGGAATTCACTGCAGTCACTATGAGAAGCCACTAATATGGCCACAACTTACGTGCCGGAAAGGCCTGGGATGCTGTGCCCTCTGACCTTGTGCTTCGTCTGGTCTGAGCTTGATGCCTCTACCCGTCCGCTGTGGCGAACCGCCACATTTACGCTTTGATCTCCCAACCGCATAAAAGAAGGCTCTGCAAAGGTAGGGATTCGAATTTCCCTCCTGCTTCGACCCCGCCGCCGTATTTTTCTCAATTCTCAGCTTTAACGAATCCCCGCAATGGCCGACCCGAACGCATACGGTGTGCTACCACACCTTAAGGCCTGTCCGGCTAGCGCTTCCGGAAGCAGCGAATTTGTTTGGCTTGATGCCAGCGCGCTCGCTGCTGCCAGCGGACTTGATGATTTTGAACAAAGCGCCGAATTCTTGTCTCCCGCTGCGTTACAGAAATGGCAGCAACGGCATGCGAAGAAGGCGCAGCAAGCGCACCTCAGGAGACTTCGTTATCCCCGACCATCGATGTTTAGCCCGCACGCCGCACCCTTCGTTCCTGCAGCCCTGCGCAGACTAGAACCGCAGCGGTATGGCAAAGCCTCCTCCGGATCCGACTCACCTCTTCAGGTCTGTCATCCCTGGATGACGGCGATGCGGCGTGGCGCAGTGGGACAGACAGCACCAGTGCGCAAAGCGCAAGCTGAAGTTGTCGTCAGCTTGGGCCCCTGGGACACACGCGAGTTGAGTGACCTCGCCGGAAAGCTGAGCGACCGGGCAGGAGAGGGCTATGGACCTGACCTCGGGGCGGTATCCCTCTTTTGCCGCGAGCTGCATGATCGCTTCGAATCACATCAAGGACCGGCATGTGCTGCGCAGTTCGTTACTCAATTGAAGGAATGTGTCATGAACGAGTTTTGGGCCTGGTGGCATTGGGTATGCTTCTTCACTGTTGGATAATCCAGTTCCAGCTGACACTACCGACACTATCTGTCTGTATAGGACTCGCCCACCTCGGTGGTGCACCTTAGCGAAGAGAACGAGTCTAGGGCACTATGTTTTCTCTCTTCTGCTACTGCAATCGCGGTTTTTGTCGCAGACCTCTTTGCTCAAGATCTACTCCCTGCGAAATGCCTCCACATTTGCCTGGACTTGCTCGTTGCAAGAATGACTGTGATCGAACAGCTTTATGCCGTGCATAACATGGTCTCGCATGCCAGTGTGCGCATATACGATGGACAGACAATGGTTCATTTCGCCGAACATCTATGTACACATGCCATAGCCATACAGAGTAACTCAAGTATCGTTCATCAGAAGTTCAACCGGGACCATGTCTCGGAGTGTACACGCGTAAGGACTATTATCCAAGCGACTCTTTTCAATGCCCTAACAGTCGCTTATTTTTGTAGGAGGTCTGCGACATCGTGAAGGGATGGATCGGTGTTGGTCCGTCATCGCTTCTCTCTCCTGCGCCTGTGAACCCACATCTAGTAGTATCTCCTTCATTCCCATCATGCACATATGCTCAGCCCTCACCTTTCAAAGGTGGAAGGTCTTCAGGATAATCTTCACTTCAGTGTTTCGTCCACCTATTCTTTTATAGCGCGGCTACGTTTGGTTTTCTTCTGTTTATCAAGAGTTCAGGACCATAGAGACATGTATTGTACATCGTTATTTAATTCACGACGACGTAATATTGTCGAGAATGTTCCTAGGCAACTTTCCAGCTAGTCAATTACACCTCCCCAGCCCGAATGCGGTTTCGCGCCCAGAGAGCGGTATCAACTGTTGCATTCCGCAATACGTCCACTTGTGGCAGTTCCCAGCTTTCATTCGTACCTTTGGGCTTGTAGATTGCAAGAGCCGCCAAGGATAGGTACGTGTGATATGGATCTAGTTGAACTAGTTAGGCGGACGTAAAATCAAGTCTGCGCTGGGTCAGGAACCAACCTGCTCGTTCTGACGGTGCCTTCGATATCCCACCGAACTGATACTGGCACTTGCCCAGGAAAGACGCTAATGCCGCGGAGTCGACGAGATCACCTGCGCCAAGAATCTAACTTGAGTAAGCCAGGGTTGCATATGTTCACGGTGAGGGAAAGTATGCTAACATTGAGTGCAGCGCCACACCAGAAGCAATAACAAGCATCAGCGGCTTTGGCTGTACGTCCACTAAAGCCGCCTAAAGATGTCTGTTTCTGAACTAGCCAACGTATAATTCGCGAACGCTCGGAGGACGAGAGGCGGTGTTCAATGGGAGACAAAGGTGTCGATGGTGCGAGGTATAATGAAGCTACGGCACAGTATGTGGTCCCACCTAACGCTTCGCCGAAGGGTGTCTGGCCATAACCGCCTTCGTAGCTCTGAAACCGAAGTTCGAATTTGGACGGAAAGTCGAAAATGAACGGAAGGACTTACGCTACATCTCTGGACATATGCGATGGCAGCGTCGACGTTCATCCCGGACCAATCATCGAGGAGGCTGCTGATCACAAATGCGCAATAAACGATTCGTAAATCTGCTTCGCCTCCGTTTGGAGAAGCGGAGAAACTGAACAAATGAATAAGATGCCAATATATTTCCCAAGAATCACTAGTGAACCTGCCATCCCCCCTCTGACATGACCGGAGAAACTTGAGGATCCCCGGTCGGTCCAACTTAGAGAAGTCGTCCCGTAGGATGGCTAACGACATTAAAGCAGTATATGTCATGATCAAATGCGGTGTGTCGAATTCAGATTCCTCGTCCTGAGGATAATGAGGACTTTGAAAGAGGTGCACGCTGTATGCACTTGCGTACCAACAGAATATCAGAAGTCATGTAAGGGCTAGGCTTGAAGCCGCTGCCATATCTTCCGTCTGTAAACACCATAGGACATCTGTCGCACCCAGATCAGGGAGAGGTGATCTACGGACGTGTTTGCTGCTCCCATAGCCAGTTTCTCCACGCCTCGCGCTCTGAAGGGGTAGTCTTGGTCTCAAGGACACCTAGCAAATCCAACGTGCCGAGGCAATAAAACCCTAGTGCAATACTTATGTTTCCGACATTCAATGCACGCGCTAGTTCGATAGTTACATAGAAGGGCGTACCGGGATGAATCCATCTCCACCTGTGAGAAGGGCAGACCGGAGAGACACAGCTTGCAGTGCATCGCGTGGCTATTCCTCGCGAGCGGAGGAAGCGACTCTGAAGCTGCCGCTTTCATGATAAATGGATAGTGCAATTTTTGATGCAGAAAAAGCGAGATTCAAGCAGTTCTGAGAACCTTTTACAGTAAGATGGAAGCTGCAGAGCCCCAGGTCCGGCGCCTTGGTTTCATGGACAAATTACCTGTACCATCCTAATTTGGAATATCCGTAACCACAAATAGTTATGTCAAGGCAATCGACATAGGGCGCACGTTGGCAGGTGATTCAAGAACGTTGGGATGGGCGCTTCTCTCGCGTCACTCGCTGGGGTTGATGGCCTATAAATCCGACCACCGCCATGCTTGTCCCTTACCTTGCTCGCTGCCAGGATCATGCAGTCCCTCTGGCTACCATCTCCTGTTTTTGTGCTCCTTCGCCGCGTCGTGAATGTCTTCTCCACACTGTCCATCTCCCAGCAATATCTCCGCCAAAGGTCGCAGCTCGTAGTCGAAGATGCTAGAGATGCACCAGATGAGGGCACAATGACCCTGTGGGAGGCCTTCAAATACATTAAATGGCCGGGCTGGATTAACTTGGAACGCGGTGCTCAGCCAATAACTGTTACTCTGGGAGCAGACTTTGGCTCTGAGGCTATAAACCAGTCGGATATCTCAGACCCTCCTGATGATATTCCATTAGCGAGTCCATCCATAGACACGCTTCATCAACTATTACGGAGTCCTGCGTTGTATGACCCAGTGCGTAAACCTCGATATCCCATTGCGTTATGCCATGGTAAGTAGAATGCATTGCATCCACTTCTCATTGATCATGTCCGCCTAGGACTCTATGGTTTTGATGTACGAGGCCCCGCTGCATTCCCTATACTTCAGCAGCATTACTGGTCCAACGTGCTGAATATTCTGAGGCAGAAAGTTGGCGCGGAAGTATTAGTTACATCTGTCCCGAGGTAGGCACCGTACGTGGTTTTTCAAATTCAGAACCGAATAACTAATCTATGGTACCTAGCACCGGATCTATCGCATCTCGCGCGGAGATTTTGGATCGCTTTCTGCAGAACAAGGCACCTGGTAGAGGAATCAACTTCATCGCGCATTCGATGGGTGGGCTGGACTGCAGGCACTTGATTTCGCACATTAGACCAACAGACTACACGCCACTGTCGTTGACTACTATAGCGACCCCTCATCGCGGTAGTCCATTCATGGATTGGTGTCGGGTGCGCATACATGTAGTCTCCTAGTATGCGACACTTACAGCGATCCGTAGGAAAATATTGGCCTTGGGCGTCTTCAGCATAAAGGGCACGCAGCGACGAGTGCAAGTGGTCTGGCAGAAATCGACGCCTCAGCTGGATCATCTCTCTGTCGAAATTCACAGAAGCAAGTATCGGACGAGAGGCCCTCTGAACCGAGATTCACACTCTCACTGGCATCATTACCGTCATCTTTCACAACGCTCCTTCTGTCCGTGCTCGACTCGCCCGCATATGCGAATCTCACATCCACTTACTTGAATAATGAGTTTAACCCAGCTACGCCGGATCACCCATCCGTGAAGTACTTCAGTGTTGCAGGCCGCATCTCCGGCGTTGGTGTATGGCATCCCTTATGGCTGCCGAAGATGGTGCTTGATGGATTTGAAGAGCGCGAGCGCGAGCGGCTGCGCCAAGACGCGGACCCGCTATGGACGCGTAAGGATGAGTGGGGGAACGACTGTCTTGTGACAATTCAAAGCGCGCGATGGGGAGAATTTCTGGGCGTATTAGAGGGGTGTGACCACTGGGACGTGCGCGGCGCACGGGGCATTGAAGTCGATCTTCCATCAGTGACTGTGCCGGGATTGAACAAAGTTGGAGACGGATGGAATCTGGCCGACTGGGGTAAGTTCGTGCGTGCGTGGAAAAGCGAAGAGAAAGCTGCTGCAAAAAGCGCCGGCGCTGGGATCAGTGAGCAGACACATGAGAAGGTGCATCAGAGGGTTGGGAACTACGAGAGGGAGCATGCAGACGAAGTGCTGAAGTCTTCCACGGACAAGCTGTCGGCTGTATTCGACTGGATCGTTGAGCAGGTGCCGGCCAACCCTCTAACATCGCTCGCTACTGCCGACGAAGGGGTACAAGCCACTCGGGTTGCGAGGGGCAGGAGCGGAAGGAATTCAAGTCGAAAGCGGGCGGAGCAAAACGACTTGGCCACAAAGATGGATTTAGAAAGATTCTATGTTGCTTTGTGTAAGAAATTGTATGATGAAGGGCTGTGACTTTGTGAATGCCTCGGCGCATATTGCCTCAGCAATGGTGACATAGTATAAAACAAGCAAATTGCCTGAGCACAGGATCAAACCCTCGAGTGCTCTGAGCGAGTCATAAAAAAGGTGTGCTTTCGGCCATCAGTGCAAGATAGCTGCCCCATGCTGCCGACAATCTCCTCCCCATCACTGCTCACTTCAGTATTGCTTTAAGACTTATAAATGAAGTTCGCGAGCTCGGTCCTGCTAAAAGTGCCGCGATATCGCGGCGGTTGAATGCAGTACTTACACAAGACAGGCCATGTGTTTCTCTTACAAGTGTGGTACGTGCTGATACATTCTGTTAAAAATTTAGGAAGAACTCGAATAGGTAAGAGTATACCTGTAGGTACAGCTCAGTTAAGTATTACCTAGTTGGTCCTTGACGAAGTACTTCAAGTTGCTGACGAAAACGCGTACGCGCCCCGCTCGGGAGCCTTCCCTGTCTGACACGCCCACGTGATCTGGTCCACAATTAGTCAAGATGGAGACTCCTCCCCGACTCCAACCCGACTCCCTGGAAGGAGGCACCACGGCAAGCTGCCTCGGAGGCCCTATGGGTCATAGAACTCAAACTAAATCACTCGACTTCAGGACCCGTTCCATTGCTGTTTAATCCAACCAACTTGATGCCATCCTCCTTGTTCACGACCTTTCATGTCTTGCTCAACACGCCAATGATGCCACCAGCCCCGCGGCCGGACACGCTGGAGATACAGCTAGAAGAGTTACATACATCCCCATTATGGGTCAGTGAATTGTTGTCCTGGGCATGCAGTCTTTTGCTGAAATGGACGTTGTATAGAGATCCAGTTTCGATAGTACGCTGTCGATGGCCTCGTCGGATAGTAACACCTCGACCCCATTAGTTCCACCACGGTGCCGCGAATCTGCACAGAAAGCTCGTTAGGTCACACCGCTTTTCTCGAAAGTACTGGCTGCATAGTTTCTACACACATATGTACGTGCCATCCCTGTCTCAATGGCTGTTGCGCCTACTGACCCCCTGTTTGACTTTTTGTCATAAATTGTTGTGGTGAGTAGAATCTCTTGAACCTTAATATCACACACTATTCGGCGATTTCTGCCTAGTCTTGCCTTATTAGTTGTAACGCGTGGATGTTAATGTATGACATATTTGGATCGATTTGCGTCGATTTGAGCGAGCAGTCTGACCGCACCAACTCTCTGTAAACTGCATCATTGCGCTGATGGTAAGTTGCTATGTCACGATTGTGCAAATGCTCGTCTCAAGCGGTAGATATGTTGGTAATCCACGTTCACCCGTATTGCGCAATCCGCCATTCTAATTGTACAATTCGCCTTCCGCGTGGCATTCGAGACTTGACATTAGACTCTCTGGAGATCTGCTCCTGAGTAATCCTCCTCCACTCAACCAAGGTCTCCCGCTCGACCGGCCGAAAACATGTTTCAGAGCGGGTTTGTATAGTCCATCTCGTAACCTGGCACGCCACTTTCACCTTTCTCAACCTAAAGGTGATTACCTCCTGTGAGTTTTGCGCCCCCTGAAATCATCAGCCCCCCACAAATTGTATTGCGTATCTCAGCATGAAGCAAAGCCTGAGAATGGCGCAATATTGTGAATCCCACTTTTAGTGATCTCCGTAGAAGCAGGCATCCCGGCCTCGACTCATACAAGGCAGCCACATAAGCAGCAGCACTGCTCGGAAATAGTTGCTTCCCGACTATCAGGATCCCTCGGTCTTCCCTAACACAATGGTCCACCTTGGGCAGCTGGTATTATCACTCCTGCCGCTGGTCTTCTGGTCCGACCAGCAGAATCCTATTACGAACCCGCTTGACACGTCACGATTGCATAACGGGTTCGCAAGACCAGTGGATGTCACAACAACGAAATCCATAGCTATCGTGGGTTCGGGCAGCGGAGGACTCGCTGCACTCAAGACAATTCTTGACTTGCCGCTAGAGACGCGCGCCGGTTGGGAGGTCATCTTGTACGAGCAACGGCGGGACGTTGGCGGCGTTTGGCTCCCAGATCCCCCAGGGCCTCTCCCGACGCTGCCGGACCTACCTGAGAGCCCGCTCTATCCACGTCTGCGCACGAATACACCACACCCTACGATGACATACCCAAACTTCACGTTCCCACCGGGCACCTCGCTGTTCCCACAGTGGGATGCGCTGCAGCAGTACCATGCTGATTATGCAGCGCATTATGGGTTGAATGAGTATATTCGCTTGAACCATACCGTTGTCTCTGCGCAATGGCATGGGCACGATGAGGACGGCGACTGGCATATCGAAGTCCACGCTCATGGTGGGGATGACGGGCGCGAAGTCGTCCTGAAGCGTACATTTGATCATCTCGTCGTTGCGACCGGCCACAATCATTATCCCAATATCCCGACGTGGAACGGCACGGTGGCCTGGTTGGCTGGTACTCGTCCGGGGCGACCCGCGCGGCAGATCGAACATTCAATATATTACCGCAACCCTGAGGCGTATGCAAATCAAAGCGTCGTGATCGTCGGTGCAGGTGCTAGTGCCCGAGATATTGCAATCCAAGTCAGTCCTGTAGCCAGGGTGGTAAGCACATTCCATGAGGCCGTACGATCGAATTTTTGAACGATCGACAGGCATACCAATCTTTGAGCAACGGCAGCTCACCCGCTCCAGGTGCAACAGTCGTTCCCAAGCCACGCATTTCTCACTTTACGCACGATGCTATCATTTTTGAGGACGGGTCCGTCTTGAGAGACGTCGATGCGGTCCTCCTAGGCACAGGCTACGAATTTCGCGTGCCCTTCCTTTGCTCGCCCCACGCCTCCACGATGGACACCGATCCATACACACATTCGACCTCACCCACTGCTGGGAAACTTACCAGCAATCTGCGGTACATCTTCCCGCTACACCGACACATATTCAGCATTGTGCCGAACTTCCCGCCTACTGCGCTTGCTTTCGTCGGGCTGCCTGTACTCATCGCGAATGCGCCGTCTGATGCTGCACAAGGCATGTTTGTTGCCCATGCTATTGCTAACGCATCGCTCCTTCCATCGCAGGACGAGATGATGCAGGAGCTCCTTGAACATGAGGCCATTCTGCGCGCACGAGGTTACGACCCGTATCGTGTTGGGCACCGCCTACTCGGCGGCGACACAGAAGCGCAGGATTATCAAGATCAGCTAGTCGAGTACTTGAAAAAGCACGGTGTTTTACCAGATGACGGGAAGAAATACGTCGAGGACTGGCGCCGGTTTGCGCGCCTCGACTCACAATTGCTTGCGCGGGCGTGGAAGAGGGTGGAGCAGCTCCGTGAGGAGGCGTACTGGTTGGCGGGCGTGGCGACAGAGGCTGAATGGGCAGACCTGATGTATCGTTTGGCGGACTGGCAGAGGGACTGGGAGGAGGAGCATGGGCAGGTTGCATTTGCTGGGGCGTTCCAAGCTGAGTAGATAAGCTCTTTGGTTTCGGTACATGCGGTCTCATATGCACGGATTATGAATGTGGTCAACCTATCAAATACATAACGGGTGCAAAAGAAACCTGAGTACCGTGAAAGTATGTGAAGCGGATTAACGTCCGTGATCGTGGTGAGGTACGAATAGCGGTTAATAATGTTCTATGAAGACCTCTCCAGACACCTTCTGATCCGCTCGACGCAGCTTGCATTCTCGAAGCTAGATATTCGCCGGTGAAGGGTGTGAATACCGATGCGACCTTCACATTGCTCATCGAAGATCTGGAAGCGTAGCCACTCTTGGCATACTACATCCTATGTTCACGGAGAACGGCACGCACCAGCGACGACCAGCGACGCCCCTAGCTGGACTTTTGCGTTATGCGCCACGGTTTGTGACCAATATGGCGAAGATGGCGACAATGATGGAGCACAGGGCAGCCGCTACCATCACTGTACTGATGCGAGCGACAGGGTACATGCCCTTCACGAGTGAATGCTGGACAGTATAGTATCGCACGACACCGAGGATAAGAGTGCATAGGCCGATAGCGATGATGGTGGCACCAAGAGGCCGGGAATACTTCTGCAAAGCCTGATTGGTGCTGCCCGCTATAGTGAAGAGCTGGACGAGGGCTGCCAGAACGGAGATGAACAAATGGTCGTCTTCAGCAACTCATGATACATACCAACGCCTGTGGATGCAATCGCAAGACTCGTGCGCACATACGCAAGGAACGTTCGCTCTGAAGCAAGGTGGTCTCGCGCGACACTCCCCGAGTTCTCTAGTGTCAGCGCGGGATTCAAATTGCGCTGCAGCGCCTCCAGCGCCCCCTTTTTCCTCTTACAGTCTTCGATGATGGGCTCTGTCGATGGGTTCGGCTCTGGTCCCAAGTCCTGCTCTCGACTGTGTGGAGAGGTCGCGAGACTACCGTCGTAGGTCTTGTAGCGCTGGTACTCTGGATCGTCGTTGACGCGGGTCGGGACGGGGGAAGGAGGCAATGGGACACTGTCGCGACTGGCCGACGTCACTACGACTGCTGGGGGATTCATTGAGATAGGGGCAAACGGGGTGGAAGGGATAGAGGCAGGAAGGGACGGAGGGGTTATACGACAGGTCTCAACTGATCAATTCGGAATATACTCAGTCCATGGGGATAGTCGAGTCTTCTTTCGTGTGATCAGTCGGCGCCCGGCTGTAGTAGACGCATTTTGGCAATCCTCGAGATACGAAAGGAGTACAAATCGCGGCTTGCATTCGCCCCGGAAGAATCGACGACAGAAAAGTGAATGCTCTGCTCCAAGTCTGCTCCCGAACTGACATCTCTCCAATTGGAACGCCGGCATTGACCTGCGTATGCGCAGTTCCAACCCAATAATTTGTTAGTCCTGTCGGTGTTGATCGTATTTGAGCCACTTCTCATTCTCAACAATCACATCATATCTAAGTATACGGAAACTCTTCCGCAGGTGCATTTGAGTACTACGCACGACAGCAACATATAGTCATACACAATGCTGTCCGACTCGAGCCGCTGTCAGACAAAGGCAGTATAGTATCTTCGACGTAACAGCGACGCAATCTACTCAATCAAACTCGGAGGTCTGCTTGAAGACCAATTGCCTTACGTACATGAGACGTTCACTGACTGAGTGCATGCCCCGATTGAAGCATATCGCCAAGACCACGAGGTATCATGAAGATACAGCAGTGATTCCTGCCTCCTTGAGCTTGGCAATCAACTCATCCACGTTTGCGACCTGAGAGAATTTGTAAGCCCATTCGGGATATGGTCGAAACCGTGCTCACCTTTCCACCACCCTGTCGCTTAGGAGGTTCTGTAACCTTCAACGTCTCGATACGAGGTGTCAGATCCACCTCCAGATCTGCAGGCGTGAGTTTCTCAATCGGCTTTTTCTTAGCCTTCATGATATTCGGCAGCGATGCATATCGCGGCTCTGATGCCATGGTTAATGGAAGCCTCGTGTAAAGCACGCGGTTATCAACGTACCGTTCAGTCTACAGCGTAATGAGGTCAACATTATGTATCAATAGCCAAACACTAAGCTTCACGCACCGAAGATCAGTCGTTACAACCAATGGCAAGCGACATCGTAACTCTTCCAGCCCACCGTCAATCTCTCTTGTGACGCTGGCCTCCTTCTTCTCGACGTCAATGGCAACCTTGCTCGCAAATGTCGCCTGTGGCCAATCCATTAATCCTGCGAGCATCTGGCCTGTTTGACCCGCATCGTCGTCAATGGCTTGCTTGCCCATTATGACCAAGTCAATGCCCTCCTTCTGACGTTGAATGAGCGCCCGCAGCGCCTTCGCAACTCCAAGAGGTTCTGGTGCCGGGGCAGATTCTGGTAATTCAACGTGTATACCCGAGTCCGCACCCATGGCGAGCGCGGTTCGGAGTGTCTCGGCAGACTTGGGTGGGCCAATGGTTACAACTTTGATGGACTTGACAGCATCCTTGAGGCGCTCTCGTAGCCGTACGGCCTCTTCCACCGCTGCAATCCAGTAGCATCACCAGCAAACTCAGTGCATAGGAGCAGACGAACCAATCTCGTCAAACGGGTTCTATGCGTGCTCGTTGTGAGATAGTCCCGTGAACAGAAGAGGTGTGACGGTACCATAGAATGCTTGACATTGAGGTCAATGCCCTTCTGGTCAGGGTTCACCCGGATCTTCACAGCATAGTCTACCGTCCTACGTTTGAGGTTAGTGAGGAATATATGCACATACGAGTCCTCCGTGCATATACCTCTTGATAGGCACCAAAATGTTGAGCAGACGCACGGCAGAGGGTCGCATTTTGATCGGTAGTTGAACAGGCAGAGCAAAGAGCGTGGTCGATATTGCAGTCGTGGTCTTGCCGTCCTATCTAGCAGCGAGCGCGTACAGCGTATACGCTCAGATCCCCCTTGTAAGATGTCGCAAGTTCGGGTTCGGGATTACAATCGGACAACGAAAATATTGTGCTCCGCAGCATCTCCGCCAGGCTCATTTCCGACGGAGCGTCAACTGGCGCTCACCGAAATCCTCCGAGCAACACTTGTGTCGGTGACGAACTCTTCTACCTGTACAACCTTGATGGTTTCAAGAACCCTCTCCGCCTCCCTTGGGCGTGTCATTCGCAGCGCAGCGCGCACACAGGTACAGAGAATGCGTTAGAGTGCGTTTGCTGCATCATTGACCACTGCTACAGCGCCAGCTGCCTCTGCGGTCATTTGCGACCGCCGTCAACGTTGCCGGCCCTCTCACAGAGACGACAACTCTATCGAATGGCTTGACTGTCGCAACGGAGTCGCATCCACACGCGCAGACGGCGACCGTCGGTGTGTGGATTGACGCGGGCTCGCGGGCGGAGACGGACAAGACGAATGGGACGGCACACTTCCTTGAGCATATGGCGTTCAAGGGCACAAACCGTCGCTCGCAGCATGCCCTCGAGCTCGAGGTAGAGAACATTGGTGCGCACTTGAATGCGTACACCTCCCGTGAGCAGACCGTGTACTATGCGAAGAGCTTCCGCAAAGACGTCGGGACCGCGGTGGACATTATCAGCGACATCCTGCAGAATTCGAAGCTGGAGACGGCTGCGATCGAGCGCGAGCGGGATGTTATCTTGCGGGAGCAGCAGGAGGTCGATAAACAAATGGAGGAGGTTGTGTTTGACCACCTTCACTCTGTCGCTTTCGCCGGTGCGTGTCGTGTGCAGGGTTTAGTCCGTAGTGACATTTACTCAGTTCATTTTAGGCCAACCGCTTGGTAGGACGATCCTTGGACCCAAGCAAAACATTCTGTCAATTAACCGCGACGATCTGGCGTCGTACATAAAGACGAATTACACTGCAGATCGTATGGTCCTCGTCGGCACCGGTGGGGTTGACCACCAAGAGCTCGTGAAGCTTGCGGAGAAAAGCTTCTCCTCCCTCCCTGTCTCCGCCAACCCCATTCCCCTTGGCCGCCTCGCCCACCCGAAGACCAAATTTGTTGGTGCGGAGGTGCGCATACGGGACGACAGCATGCAGACAGCCCATCTCGCCATTGCCGTTGAGGGGGTTGGGTGGAGCTCGCCCGACTACTACCCCATGCTTGTTATGCAATCTATCTTCGGGAACTGGGACCGCTCACTTGGCGCAGCGGGTCTAATGTCGTCTCAGTTATCTCACATCGTTTCATCGAACAACCTTGCTAACAGCTTCATGTCTTTCTCAACATCGTACTCGGACACTGGTCTCTGGGGTATCTACCTGGTTACTGAGAACGTAATGAACATGGACGACCTTGCGCACTTCACCCTCAAGGAGTGGACACGGATGTCTATTGGACCAACGGAGGCGGAGGTTGAGCGTGCGAAGAGCCAGCTGAAGGCTAGTCTGTTGTTGAGTCTCGACGGTTCAACTGCAGTTGCGGAAGATATCGGCCGACAGCTCGTCACAAGCGGACGTCGCATGACTCCTCAGCAGATTGAGAAGGCGGTCGATGCAGTGACCCCTGCCGAGATCAAGCGAGTAGCTCAGAAATACCTGTGGGACCAGGATGTGAGCGCTTCCTCTTTATCTCCGGTCATTTTATGGATGATTCACACCTACATGATAGATTGCTCTTACTGCCGTCGGTCCCATCGAGGGTCTCTTAGACTACAACCGCATTCGTGCGGATATGTCGTCACTGCTGTACTAGACACGAGGTTGAGTGAGTGTTTTTTTGCTGATTCTCTGGTAAGTAATGCTGAAAGAGTTTTCGCCAACGTTAGAGACAGTCCCAATAGACGTAAAAGTAGTCGTTGCTTCCACTTCTTTGTCCAGTAGATAGGCAGTGGGGTTAATCCTTTGTTTTATAGCACTGCACCTAAGCTTAGTGTGAGTCTGAGTTGCGCAACCTGATCTTCTTCGCGCAATCCACAAGTGCTCCGTCCTTCGAAGTCGAATATAGTGCCTATTGCGAGGGCTGGCGGCGCAATATTTTACTACTAACTAGTGCTATTCTTGAGGAGGTACCAAATGCAGCTTGAGGCTTCCCGTACCTGGCGGTAAGTGTATATGGGCCCTTCGGAAGGCCGTCGGTATTGCGACTGTATGTGTTCGAGGAAGACGGGAGGACGAGAGGGAATCAAGAAGCCGGGCCGTGATGCCTGAAGCCTGAGGTTTGGAACTGGTTACAGGAGACCAACGCTTGCTCTGGACGACTTCACTTCTGTTTCCACTTTTACAACCTCCAGTTGTATTCGACGGTGAGTCCTTAGCTTATTCAACATATGGCCGAGATTCTCTATTGTATTGAACATGTTATTGCGATCATGGCGACCGTTTGAGACGATTAGCCCCGAAGATAAGGTGATCGACAAGTAGATGCACTTGTCCGCAGGGGCAGTCCGCCACTCTACAACTTGTAGCCTACAAATATCACACTGCACCCTGCTGAGGGCATGCTACTCTTGATCCAATGAAGTTAGAATGAATTTGCAGGCATAGCTGCAGTGATCCTGGATCATGAATATGTTCATACGACTTACTTACCCATTATGTTCAACTCTAGGTTCGTAGAATTCGAGATGACGAAGGTGGCTATCATTACGGGTGCATCTTCTGGTATGCGTCTGTTGCATCTCCAGGTGTCCCTGCATAGGTTCAAGTCGCGCAGGTATCGGGCGTTCCAGTGCCATCGCGCTGTCTGAGAAGGGATGGACTCTTGTCCTGTTTGCGAGACGCCTCGACAACCTCCAGGAGACAAAGGCCATGTGTGCCGATCCGGAGAAATGTCTGGTTATCCAAGGTGATGTCTCCAAGGAAGACGAAGTTGCAAAGCTCTTCCAGGAAACTGTTCAACGCTTCGGTGGGCCTCATTTTTTCGGACCCAACAATTATTGGATGTGAACGTTTTAGTATTTCTAACTCCTTGCTACAGGGCGGTTGGATTTGCTGTTCAACGTGAGACCGGATCATCATACTGAGAATTCAAGTCAACTGAGATGCTGAACCGTGCCGCTTAGAATGCTGGCATTAGTTCTAAGCCCATCCCCATAGAGGAAATGTCCCTGTCACATTTCCAGAAAATCGTCGACGTTAACCTGATCGGTACCTTCTTGTGCACACGCGAGGCTGTGAAGATCTTCAAATCGCAGACACCACAAGGGGGTAAGTTCTTTGAGCTGCATCCCGATGCACGCACAGGGAAATTCATGGATCTGCTCGTAGGTCGCATCATCAACAACGGGTCGATCTCCGCGTACACGCCCCGCCCATATTCCACTCCTTACACTGCCACGAAGCATGCGGTGCTTGGTATGACGAAGTCTACCTTGCTCGACGGTCGTAACTTCAACATCACCTGCTCGCAGATCGACATTGGTGCGTGATCGAACCTACATGCTTCATTCTCACTTCGCCCAACTCGATGCACTCAACGTTCTTTGATAGGTAACGCGCAGACCGACATGGCTGGTAGCCACTCTGAGGGCACACTACAGCCCAACGGGCAGGTGGTTCCCGAGCAAATGATGGACGTGAAGCACGTAGGCGACACAGTCGCCTACATCGCGGGCCTCCCTCATGGGGTCACTTTGCTCACCGTCAACATAATGTGAGTCGTCCTTCACAATATACAGTAATAGTGCTGGCCTCGCAACCCTACCCGTGTGACCACGATGCAAGTGCTCACGCTCCATCTTTACTTTCCAGGGCCACCGGAATGCCATTCGTCGGTAGAGGTTGAAGACAGCTGTCAATCAAATATAAAGTATACGCAACTGTAGTGAACGTCAATGTGTCTTGTAACAGTTTGTAGACTTCGAGAGAATGAATCGATGCGTCGAAAATCGAGATTCCCTTTCCAAAGAACAGCACGTTCTAGCACGTAGCGTATTTAGCATTGAATAGTATCACTGATTCCCTAACCCAAACATCGACGCGATGACGTCCTGCACACCCTCCTGCAAGCCAACCTTATCGTGTTCACCCCACAAGGTTTCCACGTAAGTTACGCTCCCGAATGGTCCGTCAAATTCCTCTATCGAACCAAAATTGGGAACATCTACACGCCTGACGAGGGCTGTCCTCGCATCTCTTCGCTTCGCTTGGCCCTCTATGAATGCGGAGAAAAGCTCGTCGGAAACGGGAATACCCGGTGCGTTAGGTAGCGAGACCGACGGGGGAAGTAATGGGTCCAGTAAATGATCCAGAAGGGTGCGGGAATGCGAGTGAGATATCTCTATATCACTCGTTGCATGCACGATGAGAGTGGGAGTATTGATGTCCTGTGTAAATTTTGAGTGTCAGTAGAATTGATCGTACGAAGCAGACGTACTCGGATAAGAGACAAAGTATCATATTCTTCATGTATGAGATGCTGTAGAAGTTCTAATAGACAGCGTGATCAATCGCAGTCCCCAAACAGAAGTATACACAAGTGACACGCACTACGGCCCCAAGCGAAAGTTTGCAACGGCTGCAGCAAAGGGACGCCAAAGATGGCATATGTTTGTACCAATGTAGGAAGACTTGAGAAAGGAGCTAATAACACAACTCCGCGTGGCTTGACACCTTGACTTGCTAAGTGAGACCCCAGTTTTCCAGATACGCCAGTTCCGAGACTATGGCCCATGATTAGCACATCCTCCTGCTTTGCGCCATGATCCACAAGCCAGGTCCACGCTGCAATTGCATCCAGCTTCAGTCCGTCCTCATGAGGGAATCCGCTGCTATCCGCAAAACCGCGGTAGTCGACTACGAATATATTTGCGTGTAATCGCGATGACCAGGATAGATAGTGCTCTACGCGCCAGGTGCCTGCGCGAGAGCTGGCGGTACCATGGAAGTACAGGATTGTTGGACGTGTTTGTAGAGCAGATTGAACAGTCTCGATGGAAGGCTGAGAAGTGAGGAAGGACGAGGCACCGAGTCCCTTGTAATAGTCGTCGGCGATAATAAACCAAGCACCGAGTGTTTCATTGTCTGATGAATGTATTTTCATGTTGAGAGTCTTTCCCGCTGAATACCATGATATTCGTTAGCTTCCTGCACAAAAGAACTACGGGCAATCAGGACTAGAAAAATAATCGGGATGGAAGCGGAAGACCAGACAAACAAGGACCCAGGATCCAGGCTGTGGAAAACTACAGTATGAATCGGCTAGATACTCACCGCATTACAGGGTACTATTTGCGGTGATAATACATGAAGACGCGGCAGTATTTTGATGACAACTTACGAGCAAGACCATATTTCTCCGGCACGTCAAACTTCCTGCGCCATGGTTCAATGATATAATGTTCATAGGCCGCACTAGGAGGATGAGTAGTACCTTGAGCGCTCTAACACTAGAGAGGAAAACTCACATTCGTTGAACTGTAGGATGCGCAAGCACAACAACTATCGCAACGTATACAAAGGTAGCATATAACGCGAACTTATGCGCGCGAGCAAGAAAGCCATTGTTCGAGTGACCATCTTGATTGTTTGCCATCAGCCCGCAACTTGAAGATAGTTCTCAGCACGCGTTCAAGAAGATAGTGAATAGTCTAGAGATGGGGGTCAACGTTCGACCTATTCGACGAACTTCAGATCTTAAGTAAACCTTAACAACAGTAGTGTGTTCTTGAAACAATAGAGGCCAGCCTTGAGCTGGTCACTGAAACACCCCGCGGACTTGTGGGCCCCACACGATCCACCTCGTTTGCCGGAGCAAACTTGGATTACCATAAATGTTTTAGTATAGAATCAGCTACAAAGGTAGATACAAGGAATATTATTATATAGAATTTCCAAAGTAATTTGTCGTCAACGGTCATGATCAGGCTATTGAAGCTGCCGTCGCGACTTCGCCGCTGGTCAGCTACTCTCTCTCTTCGAACTAGGTTCGAATCTTCAGCACTGGGTGATTGACGTTATCACTTACCTCAAGAGAAGGTGTTGGCAGGTTGTATATTTGGTGGCATCTGGGTGAGTATCATTCTAATCATAGCACCTCTCGGAAACTCCAGCGGAGGATAACCTTTGGGACTGACAGGGAGCTGACACTCCTCTTGCTCACTACTATAGGTCACCGCCCGGGAGAGTCAGGATTGTCAGTCGTGGACTATCAATTCCTGGTCGTGGTCGACTATCGTCCTCTTCCTTCTAGACCGACTAGAGATACACCTAGATGGCTGAAGTTAATTCTTCTCGACATATGACATCTGTGGCAGGCATTGCGGAGCCCCGAAGTCCCTCTCATGACCGCTTCGAAAAGGAGATGGCAGAAATGAATCTTACACCGATGTCGAGATCGCCCTCGGCCACGCTGCGCCTGAATGATCTGGGCAAGTCTCTGGAGTTACCTGCCTGGCTCAAGCGCATCCGAGTTGGCACAGGAATTTATCGCGACGTCCGTTCGCGTGCTCCGTATTACTTGAGCGACTGGACGGACGCATGGAACTACCGCGTAGTTCCTGCAATCGTGCTGATATTCTTCGCCAAGTGAGTAGAATGTCTGCACTTTCTCTAGACAGCGCGGAGGCACTGTGTGAAGGTGACCCTCCACGCTTCCTCGCGCTGCCAGGATGCTGACGTCTGTATATAGTGTCCTCCCCGGCATTGCATTCTCTCTGGATCTCATCGAGACGACTGAGCAGTATGGCGTTTCAGAGGTGCTCTTGTCGTCGTTCATGGCCGCGTTCATCTTTTCGATATTTGGGGCGCAGCCACTCTGCATAGCAGGTGTTACGGGTCCCATCACAGTGCTGAACAGGACCATATTCAATATCATTGAGCGGCAGCCTGACCCTCCGAACTATTTACAGTTTGTGGGGTGGGTGTACCTGTGGGGTGCCATCCTTCACTGGATCACAGCAGCCCTTAACTGTGAGTGAATTCCTGATGTTATAGATGGAGGCATGATGCTCATCGTTTACTAGGGTGTAACTTCCTTCAATATGTTACCCTCTTCTCTTGTGATACTTTTGGATTTTATGTGTCCTGGGTCTACTTGCAATACGGCGTGCAAGTAGTCACACGACAGTTTCCTTCCCCATCTAACGATACATCCACGCTTGACGGCGCCTTTGTCGGAATTATTCTCGCCCTGCTCATGCTCGTCACCTCTTTTCTCTTCCGCTCGCTCTCTAAATCTGCCTATTTCCATCGTCACGTCCGCCGTTTCTTTGCCGACTACGGAATGCCTATTTCACTCGTTGCAGCTTCGGGCATGGCTTATTGGGGACGCTTTGATTCAGCAAGACCTAGTACGCTACCCACCGGAAGTCCGTTTATGCCCGCTAACGGGCGTGAGTGGTTGGTGCGTTTTTGGCAGCTAGATGGCAAATGGGTCGGTATCGCGTTCCCGTTTGGTGTCGTCCTTTGGGTGCTGTTCTTTTTCGATCACAACGTTTCGGTAAGCTCAGCTTCTGCTAGTACCAGGCTTGGCACTGACATTTCTTGTAGTCGCTCATGGCGCAAGGGACGGCATTCCCGCTACGCAAACCTCCAGGTTTCCACTACGACTTTTTCCTTCTTGGGGTCACGACATTCATCGCCGGGCTGCTGGGACTCCCAGCACCAAATGGCCTCATTCCACAAGCTCCCATTCACACGACTTCTCTACTAGTAATGGGATACCCTGAGAAGACGTCAGCCGAAGGAGACGTTGAAGGCCAGCCAAGGGCTTCGAAACACCAGGAAAAGCAACGTGCCGATTATCAAGGTGAAACAGAGATGCAGCGAATTCGATCGCGCCGCTCGTTTTTAGAGTCCGAGCTTGAATCGGACCCTGCACACGCTCGAGAGGGCGAGGGGAAGTTACACCGCCAGGAGATCGCTCTTGCAGTTGTGGAGCAGCGCGTGTCGAATCTTGCACAGGGTGCTTTATGCCTAGTCCTATTGACTCGGCCATTCTTACATGTACTACACTTGATTCCGCGAGGAGTGCTAGCCGGATTATTGTAAGTGTCTTATTTTGCTTCCTTGATTATCGTCTTGAACGTCAGCAGCTGGTATATGGGCGCAGATGCGCTGCAAGGGAACGGTATTACGCGGAAGATATTGTACTTTATCCGCGACAAGTCGTTGACGCCCTCGGAGGACCCTCTCAGGAGGGTTCGTAAGTCCCGGATTTTTCTCTTCGTCGCGGTGCAGCTTGCCGGCTTCGGGGCCACGTTCGCAGTCACGCAAACGATTGGTGCGTTTTTCTCGGCGATGGCAAGCTCTTCCAATTTCATTGACCTGTTCTGTTAGCGGCTATTGGGTTCCCTGTCATCATCCTCTTACTCATTCCCTTGCGGGCGCTCGTCATACCTCGTCTCCCATTCACGAAGGAAGAGCTAGCGATCCTGGATGGACCAACAGCGTCGCCATTTGTGAGTGTCGGATGGCTAGTTCTCGCGCTGTGGTATGCTGACAGGAACGTTAAACTACCTTCTGTTCGTAGACGATGGAGTCTGTCGGAGGGACGCGATAACATGTGAGCGCCCCTGGCATTGTGGCATATCATGCCATAATCATGGACATATCAGATAGGGCTTGACGCTCAGGTTCGAGTTGGAGGCTTGAAGCTGGCAGCTTTGTGGCGGCTGTTGGACAAGGTGTGGGATAGACCCTTTGGCTGAAGCTTTGAAGGCAAGCGCTCAATTTATCGACAGGGTGATCACAGAATTCGGTCTGTGTTAGTATATAGTAAAAGTAGACTGCTTTTGACCTTACGTGCATACCTATTGTATTATTTTGCTACTCAGGCTTCCGCATCTGCGAGAGATATGCAGTAGATGCTATTGTTTTGGACCCGGGACTGGCCCAGGCGGACTCGTGGCGGAGGGTGCCGGCGTGCGTGGAGCCGATCTGTGTGATAGGGCAGATCTCCGCGCGTGTGCACGACGCTGCTCTCCTCATGCCTCTTCATGACTGCGTGTACACCTGTGTGCACGCCCAGGAAATGCACGAGTCTTTTCTAGTCCTCCAACAACTTCCGTCAGGGGCATGGCAAGCCGAGCATAATTGAATCGGGAAGGAAATATCCGCCGTGTCCGAAACCTGCCCCCGAACTACTGATTGTCCTATCATCACCTCTTAAAATTCCATCATGAAGCATCAGGAAGCCGTCTGGACGTATGAGCCGAGCTCGTGCATCGTGACCAATAAATACGAGTCATGGCGAAACCATCGCCCGCGTGGTCCTACCGCCTTTTTCCCGCCTGCACCCACTGCATTCCCCTTGGACGTACAATTTCAGGATGAGTGGCCAGGACAGCACTGTTATTGGGGTCGTGATCATCGCGAGGCATGGCGATCGTCTGGAGTTCTACCAGGATCCTGACACCTACGCCGTGACTGCGACAGACATCACTCCCCTCGGTGAGGTGAGCAGACAGCCATCTCAACCGTGAAGAAAATTTTCCTCACTCATTTTTTGGACAGCAACAAGAGTGGCAGCTCGGCAACCTGCTCCGCTCCATTTACCTCAACGAGTCCTCTCCATCGTTCATCCAAGGGATCGCTCCCTCCTCCTCGACGTTCAATGTTGACCAGGTCGAAGTGTATGCTGACAACAGCGGTATCGACAGCGTCATCATGGACAGCTGTGCTGCGTTAGTGCAAGGGATGTGGCAGGCTACCCCTCAGCAGAACATCTCACTAGCGAATGGGACAACTATCACGAGTCCCCTTGGGGGTTACCAATACGTGCCAAGTGAGCTCGTTCGGCCGCTTTGCTTGCGTGGAGAGCATAGTAGCATTGACCACCTGCTCTTCAGTCAACTCGGTCCAACCAAGCACGGATGTATCATTAGAAGGGACAACTGATTGTAATGTGCGCACGTATACTCTGTTCATGATCTTATTGCTAAACGGATTCTCACTTCCAGACTCTCGACACACGCACAGAAGCGTTCTATAACTCAAGCATGTTCGCTCAAAAGGCCCAAGAAGCTGAGCCTTTCCTATCTCAGCTTCAGCCATATGTTGGTGGTCGACCGGTTGAGCTGTCGAACATGGTATGTAGACACTCTGTTAACAATAATCGGCTTTGACTGATATGTTATCTGCCTAAGTGGAATGTGAGTAATGCTGAACACATGATATTAATCGCTTATTGAAGACCCGTGCTGGCGTAGATTTTCGATTACATGAACGTGCAGTCGATCCACAATGCCACGTTCCTGGCCAATCTGCCCCCCACATTCCTCGCTCAGGCGCGCGACCTGTGCAACTGGCATGAGTACAATGTCTTCTCGGACCCATCATTCACAGGAGTTGGAAACAGTGCGTATCTGAACTGGTGCATCTACGCATGTCTTGACAGTTGCGTCTTGCATGCACACAGTCGCTTTCCAAACCATGCTCCCCGGCATCCTGAACTCCATCGATAGCATCACCAATTCATCCACTGGGCTCAAAATGACCTATTATGCAGTCGCATACAAGCCATTCCTGAGCATGTTCAACATGACCGGTGTTGTCAACGCGGGCGAACTGCCTGGCGCGCTCAGTATGTTCCCCGTCTATTCGTTGTGTTATCGTATTCCCTCATGACGAGAACGCTCTCTACTCCAGTCGACTACGCGTCTGCTGCTGTCTTCGAGATCCGCCAATCATCCCCAACGTCCGAGCCCGTCATTCGGTTTCAGTTCAAGAACGGCACCCAAGACGCCGGGTTCACGACGTACCCACTCGTCTTCGCCGACTGGAACGGCACTGGTGGCGAGGACGTCCCCGTATCGACGTTCGCCGCTGCGTTCGGCAAGGCGGCGGTGAATACAACGCTGGACTGGTGCAACGTGTGTGGGCAGACGACTGAGCGTGGCTGCGCAACTGCACTCGCGGCGGCTGCGTACACCTCTGGCGCGGGCTCGAGTAGCAAGCACCAGCTGATCACGCCCGTCGGCGCTGGGTTCTTGGGTGCGGGTCTGACGGCCGCCGTGTTCCTCATGGCGCTTGGCGCACTAATGTTCTTGGGTGTGCTGACGGCGGGCATGGGAAAGTTCCGCAAGAGGCAATCACACGCGGCCAGCGTCGAGGGCGGTACGAGGAAGATGCGGGGGGACGAGCTGGAGCTTCACTCGGAGGTGAGCGACATGATCTCGCGTATTAGAAGATACTGACTGAGTGACTTTCACCTTGCAGGCCAACTCGTACGCGGCACCGTCTTTGACCCATACGTAGAGTTGAATGAATGATCACGACAATGCAGCCGCCGTCCTATGGGGTGCTAATTCATGTATCATGTAAAATTGTACGAAAACTAGCTTGTGCTCAGTGGGCTGAATGCAATGGGTGTTTGTATGATTATGCCATTCCATTGCAGCAGAAGAGGAGAATTAGGATAGTATCAACAGTATTAACTACCGAGTAAGCTTTGGACTACTGATGATACAAGCACTACAGCGGGGTGCGTTTGCTTCAATGAACTGTCACCATCAAACTCGACGGTCGGATTTCTTGGATGTGACGGAGTTTCATCGAGAAACAAGGAAAATGGTGCGCCGAGCACGTCTTTTAGTATCTGCGAGGACTCTTTCATTTTGCATTCGGGCAGCATAGCGTCCAGGATTGGACACGCCCGCCTGTTCATAAACCTGGAGACATTCCGCCACAAGAAGCTGACCGGGTTGTGTGAACACAACGCGGTCAAATCCTTGTTGAAGCAGACTTTCGTATGTCCTCGATGAATGCACTCACTGATGCTTGAAACCGATCCACATTCCTTTATCTTGGAAGGCGGCCAGGACCACACTTCATCCACACTTTTCTGAAGCGGCATACGGGCCCATCTGGGAGCGAAGAGAACCGTATAATTCCCTTGCTCTCGATGCTTCCGTAATGCGGCCTCATAATCCCTGTCACCTGAGATGAGGATGGTGACAGAACTTGTGCGGCCAGACATTTCGGCTTGGAGCAGCCAAAGCATTTCAACGAAGACCATAACTCCTGCTGCCCACGTACCTATAATCGCTTTATCAACAACATTTTTTTGGCCGCCATGCGGGCAATTGATGAATTTCCCCCAGTGATTTTGTGAGAGTGCTAGCGTTAACTGAGGGGCTTTTCGAGACCCTACTCGTTTTAATTCGGAGTAGACACGGAGCTCGCCGACAGCTCCGAATCTCTTTCGAATATGCCGGAGTATGCTCTCAATAAACATAGGAATATTTTGCTTTGTAATTTTTGCTGGGATGGGTGCATTTTCTTGTATACAAGGTCCCAAAGCCTAAGGATAGGGGGAGATGACAATAACGTACCGTAGTCCCATAGGACGACTATGCCCCTTTTTATGTTAGTGGTTAAAGCGGCGTCGGGTAAAGATGAAGCTTGACGTGTTGGCATGATACTGTGCACATCATAGGTTAAACCAAGTCCTCGTCGGTGCACATAGTGACTCTTCTGAGCCGCGTATGGTCACACTGTGACGAGCGCGTCCGCACTGGCACCAATGAATAGGACGGCTACAAACTTGTCGCTGTGTCAGTGCCTTCAAGTCCAAGATGGAGGCGTCACAGATCGAATACATAAGCGAGCAGTATTGGCTTTCACATTTGGGGTGCGCTACTAGTGGTACAACCATTAGGTAGTTACCTTACTCCAGCCATAGCCTATCACACCGAGTGCATTGTAGCCTATCAAGAAAACCTAAGTGGTCTTTAATTAAGAAGCTCTTTTGTTGAGGCGACTTCCAACCTCCGAAGCAGCGAAGACGAATTGATGTTCCACGCGCATTTACTAAAACTGCGCTTTTGACGAGGATTCCCTTGTTCTGCGCTAGACATGCTAAAAGCTTATACATACCTCGCCGAGATTTTTATGTAGCCGGCTGTTTGTGGACCAGGAGAAGTTCCTCCACAAGGAGTTGACTGAGTCACGAAAACGAAACGCAGTCAGGTCCTTGTTGAAGACCATCGTGTCTGATCTATGTCGCACCCACAAAAAGAGGGGCTGCTATTTTTCGGAAACAACACATTGACAACAGGAGCAACTTGGATCCGATAGATGAACTCACGTACAGCGGGTGACTGTTGACATTCCGATGTAATCTCGATGGGCCAAGGTAAGACCTCGCACACGATCTCCGAAAGCTCATGCCTCTTTCTGGGAGTAAAGAGGACCGTGTGATGTCCCCGGGACCGAAGTTCCTGTAACGTACTTTCATAACCCCCCCGTCACTTGAGATAAGTATAATTGTGGTGGGATCGGGGCGGGAAAGCATTTCTCCTTGAAATAGTCAAAAGTTTAATGATAGTCATGGATATCGCTGCTGACGTACCAATAATAGCGTTGTCGACAACCTCCCTTTGACGATGATGAGAACAGGTAATGAACTTGCCGTGATGGTTGTGCGACAATGCAGCTTTCATGTACTCTGCCTTCCTAGAGCCAATATTGTCCAACCCGGAGTAGACGAGAAGCTCGCCAGTATCTCCAAATCTGTCCCGAACGGTTTGGAGCATCCGGCCGATAAACATAGAAATGTTATATTTCGGCACCTTGGCCGGGACAGGGGTGTTTTCTGAAGTTGTTGATGAAATATGAGGCAACAGGAACCACAATATAACGCACCGTAATCCCAAAAGATTACTATGTCCTTCGGCGCGCCAGTGGCTAAATTACCAGTCAGAGATGAGGCTTGACGGGGGTAGCTTGTCATGCTGTAATACAATGTTCAGACACCAGACGAGGAAGGCGGAGCCATGCAGCGACTTGCTTTTTGCGTGTTCGCACGGCGTTCAACGTTGGGACTGACAGACCTGGAATCCGGGAAGACAGGCGGTACACAAATGCCAATGGCAAAGACATGATGTGACCTAGATTAGACTGCGGTCCCTATCACCTCTCCTGACAGTCTCAGTTGCAGCTAAATCACTTAGTAATGTCCAAGAGAACCAAGCTTTATTGAACAGGTCATGCTTTAGAGACAGGTTCACAAAGTACTTGAAGACAGCATTATGAGAGTCGCCGCTGGTAGTTTGTTTGTATGCGATAAAACCGAAAGTCGCCAGTGTCAGTAGCACGAAGGTAGGAACATTTCCTCCAAAATTATGTACAGGCACTACGACTGATGTCGAGAAAAGCGAGTATGAGCAATTTCAAGTGAGTCGTTTTGACATATGCACTCGCCTCAGATGATACCAGAATCTAGTAATCCAGATAATCATTACGGTAAGAATACACAATGTACGAATCCTGCAGTATAATACACATTCAATGATAATGTGTTGATACAGTATGCAGATGACTTTGATGACTCAAGTCGTCTAGGTCTCAAGTGTCGTCATCAACGCCACTCGTGATTGCTGTCATCATCAGCCAGAAAGTCTTCATGGTCGGAGTCCTCATGAAACATATCTGCGCCCGTACGAGTCCCCAGAAATGAAAGACAGCTCAAATTTTGTGCGCGGGTAGACACGCACCACTTGAATCACTTTCATCAAACTCGTCTTCTGGGTAGTCGTTCTTATACCAATCCTCGGCTGCGCATGTCAGATATGTCATCAAGTGTATCATCGAGTATGATTCAGGGCGATATAGGAAAACCAACCATTTGAGTCTTCGTCATCTGTATCGGCGACCTCCGAGTCAGAATCTGAGTCATATAACATGAGCTCTTCGGGCACGCCCGTCCTGCAGACATCCGCTTAGGTCAGATGTGGAAGTAAGCAGGTGGACAGAACAAGGCGTACAAGGTACCGATATTCATGATACTTAACGAGGGTTCATAAAGCTCTTGGAATGTTGTTGGACGCTGGTAGAACACATCATAGACATAGTCATTATCGTCTCCAGGAGCAGTACCGTTTGCACTCGATGGGAAAGAGGATGTTGAGGCAGAGGAAGTTGCCATAGAGGGGCCATCAACTAGTTATGCCTGTGAGACAGCGTCAACCGGCAGAGTAAGACTACAAACGTCTAAGATAATCCTGAAGCATTGGAAGAAAATTGGCCATTTCAGGATCCATGTCCGAGACCGTTGATGTAAGGCTAGAAGATGACAAGATTGCGTCATATAGTTTGAGCCCTGACTGAGACTGTCGCAAGGCTTCCAGCTCTTTTGTAGACCATACTTTGGGACTGCATACTTCTTAGTTCTCGTATAATTCGCACAGGTGCGAGGTGCACACAACACGTACGGGGCAGTGACCCTCCTTTGAGTAGCAGGCAGCTGAGTAGAGGGCGATTCTCGTTTGACGATGGTGTATATGCGTCCCGGGTCGTCCGCTTGAGGACGAGAGACGGAAGGAGATTGGGACGTGATGGATTTTTCAACAACAGCTGGCGCAGAAACAGAGGCGCAGATGTTTGACTTGCGGGCAAGAGTGGCTAGACGAGCCTAACGCAGAGTTTCATCAACTAAACCAGTGATATGACAGGATAAACTAACCTCAAGATCTCTCTTTTGTTGCTCGTCATCAAATGTTGCCCGTTCTACTGTCGCTGCAAACTTGAAGAAGTTAAGAGCACCACGAGACTTCTTTCTACTCGGAACGGACTCCGGATCGACAACTAGGGCCGACTATGAGCACTTCTAAGTCAACACCTCCGGGATTTGACTAACCTAAGCCGTCGAGTGGCTCCTCGTTGCGCTTCCGTTTAATACGCAGAATAGCATATGAACGGTCGTGCTCATCTGATTGGGACGTGGACTGAGTCTGCTGCTTGACTTCTTCCATTAGTAAACGTTTTTATGTGCCAAAATCTGAAAGGCAGAGAGGGGCAGTGACAATGAACGGTCTCAGATTGAAAATGCTGGTAAAGTCAGATTCGTCGTTCAAAACCGTTGAAATGCTTGTGGCCTGTGGCCGCGTCGGGTCGCGGCAAGTCAATTCGAATTAACCGAATGCCGTGAACTTCGCAAGAGTCGTGGACACGTGATCGAGTCAGAAATTCGTTCTGTCGGATCCCTGAGTCCCTCCTTCTGGTCTTTCGCTGAAGTTTGGCCTAGTTCACCTAGGCAAGGTTAGTTTTAATTTTATCGAAGCCACTGAGCCTAGCGTTTGTCGTACTCAGGTCAAAGGACGCCATGCACATAGTTGTATTGCACTGATCTATGGCTGCGGCGCCGATGGGGCAGGAATCTTCACTTTCGAGATGTGTTAAATTCAGATCATGTCATCCCGGCGCCTGTATTACGGTCTACAGTCTGTGAGGCTCCATCGGTGCGTCTCCACGAAACCCTATCGAAATTTGAAAGCTGCTTTGAGGGACTCACATGAATGATACGACTTTGATATCGCCATGAGGCCAGAGCCCATACCATCAGCGCCATCTATCAAACTACAGTCTAAGAAAAATCACCTGTTTCCCGCAAGATCCAAGACCATGTACACATCATTTATATGAACTCGTCTCCGCTGTAAGTCGCTCCGGTCGGATGGAAAGATGTCTGGTATGTTAGCTCGAAGTAATATCTCTTGAGTCTTTGCTCCTCGGGCGTCGCAGGAATCACGTTATGGGTCTCACTCTGAAAGCTTGGTGTATCGTGACCCAATAATTTGAAAGCAACGCACATGCTATTACTGACTATGAAATTACTCTTAGACCAATCACCCATGCCAGTCCCAAGACCACATACACATTACTCATGTGAGGTCGCCCCACTGTAGGTCGCTCCGGTCTGTCGGAAGAATGTATGCTCACTCGAACTAATCAATCATCCCTACTTCTCCGACGTCGAGGGAGCTACATTCTGAAACTCCACCAGCATGGCGCACAAGCAAGAACCCTTACCACACTTTATCCACATCTGGATTCAATGGAGACAGCGCCCACGAAAGGCTTGGTAACGACGTAGGGTATCTTATCGTATAAAACCTCGTCAATTTTGTCTTTCCCCAGCTCAAGAGACAACGCACATTTCTCTGCCACCATCCGTTTTCACTCCACGTACAATGTCCAAAGCAACTGATCCTCGCCCCACAGTCACCGGTGTTCCTCGACTAGGACTCGAATCCGTGCGCGGCGAACGTCGAAATTATAATGACTGGACGACTTCGAGCAAATTAGTATCGTCTCTTTACGTCCAAGCACTGCGTAAGCCATCCGTAATATGTTGAATAGCTACCCTTTTATCTGACACTCTAAACTGATTCTAGAACGTATGATGTCCGAACCATACGCCGACGACTTCTCTTGGGAGTCTATTGGCGGCATCCATGGGTTGCCCTATGTCCGATGGGGTGACTCCGGTGGCCCCAATCCAGATCCAGACTCGGAATTTGGTGGTTATTGTACCCACGGATCTGTCCTCTTTCCAACATGGCATAGGCCTTACGTCGCTCTTTTCGAGGTATGTCGTTTTAGTATAAATATCTACATGTGGAATATACTAAACCCTTACGCACCTATCACAGCAAGCCGTGCAAAAGCAGGCGGCACAGATAGCGCAAGAATATACTACCGATAGACAGGAATGGATCCGAGAGGCAACAGATCTTCGCTCATGGTTCTGGGATTGGGCTGCTGAGCCGCGAGTTCCTGGAATGCCAGTCCCCGAACTTCTAATATCTCCAAAAACTGAAGTCATCACACCTAAGGGGGTTGTAACGGCGAACAACCCTCTGTATAGCCATGTTTTCCAGCACCCTTTTCCAGTCAGTACATTTCCAAAGCCATTTAGTAGCTGGAAGCAGACGCTTCGATATCCTACGTCTGGCGATTCATCTGCGGAAAGCGACATGAAGAAATTCGTGAGGTGATAGACTGTCCGAGCGTGAATTTGACATCTGCTGACACTTGTTCTCCGCAGTAACTATGCTGCCAACGCTTCTCAGATTCGCACCCAGACATACCATTGCCTGACTCGTCTCACTACCTGGGAAAAATTCAGTAACCATACAGCCAAAAACGACCCGACCATTGCCAACAGCCTGGAGACAATCCACGATCAGATGCACGTAATCATTGGTGGTATTAGTCCGTATCCTGGACATATGGCTGACCCCACCGTTGCAGGTGAGATACCACTCGGTTTGATAAGTCGATAACGAACGGCGCACTGATAATGTTCCCAGGATTTGATGTAGCATTCTTCGCGCATCACACTAATGTCGACCGTTTGCTTGCACTATGGCGGGCGATCAATTATACGGCATGGGTCTCACCCGGTCAACAGCCAGATGGCACCTATACGCTTTCAAACAGCGCTGAGGTTGATACACAATCCGGTACGTAAATCTATGCATGTGAGAATCGGATACTGATCAGCCATGTGATTAGACCTCACGCCGTTTTGGAGAAACCAGGAAGGATACTGGAAATCGGCTGACATCATCGACACGAATACGTTTAACTACGCATATGAAGATTTCAAGGGCACGAGCCAGGATCCCGCTGTACTGGCTAAACAAATTCTGCTCAGAGTCCAAGCGTTATATGGAGGGGACAGCATTGCCCTTGCCAAAAAACACGCAAGTAATGGAAGTATTCGCGAGTGGAATGTGCATATCAAGTTCAAGAAATTCGAGCTGGGGTCTAGTTTCTCAGTCCTGGTTTATATTGGGGAGACATACGTCGGCTCGGTCAGCGCGTTCGTCAATAGTCGCCCCGAAAACTGTGCCAATTGCAGGCGTAATCAAGACGTGGAAGTCGAGGGATTTGTGCATCTCACGAAGGCGATGGTGGAAAAGTACACTTTGCCCTCACTCGAACCTGATGACGTCCGACCCATTCTTGCCGAACATATTTCAGTAAAACTGGAGGGGTTCAAGGTTGGTTCATCACATTCTGCTTCGTGAGCATGTTATTTACCTGGATTACCGTCAGCCCGATGGCACGCCGGCGAATATAAGCGATGATCTGCCGTCGTTGAAGGTCGCTGTCTGTTCGCAACTGGTCTCCTATGGCCGCGGAGATGAGCAGCCTAGGCCCACGTTGGGCGACGTGAATTATCATCACGACATTTTTGAAGGGAAGCCAGGGCATGTCCCGGCTGGACAGTGGTGAGATACGGGTCACTTGAGCCTGATGTTGAGTCTGCCGTTTGTGTACGAATAGTATCTTCGCACTCGTCATATGCTCTCCTATTTTTAGTGCTGTGAATGTGAATGTGCAGCTGTATTGTTAGTAGGAACTCAGTGGATGTTCCACGTTCAATATTCCTCGGGCGCGTACATGGCGAAACGATATCGATTAATTGAACGCGTTATGTCTCGTACTGCTGAGGAAGACGGAACCGGGCGACCCGTGGGCATCCGGGAGACCTAGCCACCGTCAAGCGGATGCAACGCGGATGAACATAGTATGGCATAGGTAGTTGGCTAAGGCGGAATCAATCCATGTATACTTAAGACAACTACGTACCGGTTCTATCAATACATTCGTCTCTTGCTTCCCTCGCTCGAACTGTCCCCGTTTCGCTCAACACATACCGTGCTAGTACCGTAAGTATTTCAAGTCTCAACAGTACTACTGTCTGGTAGTACGCTCTTCTTTGTGTACAACCTCGATCTGCGTCGCGTCTATGTTGCCAAAGAAATGGACAGATCTAGACAACCACGGTCGCAAGCATTCGTGTATTTCTGCGTACTGGCTACAGGTGATATTGGAAATCGGTGGTATAACTACAGTGGATGACAGCTCTCTCGAAAACATAGAATTAACAGACTTTTGGAATACGCTAATATAGGAGAATGTGATACTGCCGGCAAACACAGGGTTCAAGGTATATTGTTAGTCATTATGCGCCTTCCCGGACTTTGCCATGCTTCTTCAACCACCCGCCCACTTCCCAGCTACAACTTGGGTGATACACGTCTTTGCTACGCTGCACAGTATCCATGACACCTCGAAGGATGTTTCGCAGGCGCTTAAAGTCGATTGGTTTCAGTATCCAACCGTCGAAGCCCAGCTTGAGCAGCTCGTCGTGTTGGTCTTCATAAAGGGATGCTGAAACGGCGAATATGGGTATCCTTCCATTGAGTTGGTGAGACGTTCGGTGGGGTTCGTTATTTCGCTGCCGTTCCACCTGACGGATTCGTTCTGTAGCCTCAAATCCATTCAGCAACGGCATCCTACAGCCTCGCGTTAGTCTCGTCGATGACGACAACTCGAGTACGTACTGAATATCCATCAACACGCAATCAAATTCCCAATCAGACTCGAGCATCTCAAGACCTTCGACGCCATTCGTTGTATTGACGACAGTATGTCCATCCAGCGATAGACGCTTCGCAAGGATCATACGATTAATGTCGTTGTCCTTATATGAAACCATCAACACGATAACGAGATTTTCAGAGAGCAACATACCTCCACAATAAGCAGCCGCAGTTTGACATTACTGCTTGTCTCCGAGCGGCCACCGCGTGACGTTGAGCTACGCGGGCCCTTGCGTGAAGAATGTTTTGGCACGGGCGACAGAGGCGGTTGGACATCCTTGATCGTCACGGTCTGAAGATGTATTTGTGCCCCCGAACGAGGGCTTCCGGTTGATCCAGTTTCTTCAACAGGAGTAAGGGCAATAGATCGATCCGAGCTAGTGAGAAGAGCTCTATCGCATTCCACTCGTGAAGAGGCATTCGTATCCATTGGGCTGATAGGAATAAGTGATGTATCGCCTATGTGTTGGTTCGACAGGGCTTCTACCAGATTATCAAACTGACTCTCGCGAGCATTAGGCATTTCGTCAAGCGAACGTCTGTGAGAGCTCCGGGACGATGGCGAGCACGATGGGGAAGGAGAAATCGAACCATCAATTTCAGTAGAGAATGGAATCAGGAAAGAGAATCGGCTGCCTTCGTTAATTCTTGAATCGACACGTAGCTGACCTCCGAGTTGTTCCACAATTCGAGCGACGACCGCCAGCCCCAGTCCTTGGATGCAAAGGTTGGCCTAAGCGACGATGACTTTGATTGAAAGGAAAGCTTACCGAGGCCCGGAGCACTGCTTTTTGAAGGCGCGCTCTCGACCTGCTCGAACTCCCTGAATATGCATTCCAGCTTCTCGCTAGGAATCCCGTATCCTGTATCGGATACCACGATTTCTACTGCGATAGTGTCCGAATTTCGAAGTCCTATGGGCTCCTCGAATGCATGGCATTGCACTGATATAGATCCTTGATCGGTATACTTTACTGTAGCACTTATATGAGCTTTTGGTGTCGCATGATCGATAGACAACGTACGAGCGTTAGCGGCGAGGTTCGCAACTACCGTCCGTATCTTTCTGGAATCACCTACGACCAACTTTGGACAATTAGAGACATCAAGCTTGAATCCAAGCCCCCTGCGCATTGCTTCGTTTCGATAGAGGAGGGTTGCATCCTCAATGGCACGGTGGAGATTGAATACCTCGTTAAAAGACGTTTCATTACCACTTTCAAGGCGAGTGAGATCCTGTTGCGCTCATGAATGACTCTTTACTTTAGATCTTAAGATAGTTCTCACAAGCAAATCATTAATTGTGAATAATAAACTCTGTATCATCTATCAGAAACGCATATTGCACTTGTTTTAGCTGATCTACAACTTACCTTTGAAGCAGCATGAGATTGACTCAAGTTTTCACGAGTCTCGGTGTCCAGCGAGCCATTGAGTGCCAATTCCAGATAGCTGAGAGATCGGACTGAGAATGACAGTGGCCGCTGATATAGCGAGAAAACGTACTTTATGATATGATTAAGTGGCGTGCGCACTACATTACGAATTGACGGATTAGACTTGAATATTGAACATAGAGCAAAATACGAACCTTCATGGCTAGCATTCGACAGTAAAAGATTTGTCAGCTTAGTGGTTTGCAGTGCAGATTCCTTCTGTCGCCAGACTTCTATGAACTGATGTCATCCAGCCTGTAAGTTACGAGCGTCAAGAGAAGAGTACTTGAGCCAACCTTCCCGTACACCAGCGCTAACACGCCAGCAGTTTCGAGATGCTCATCTGACCACGCACGACATCGTCCAGCGACAGTTTCCGACCATGTTCTGAAGGATGCTCTCGGCTCCAGAATATTCCGCTGTTCACCATCCTTGAAAGGTCGACCGGCCCAGCGTACTTGGCGTGGCTGGCCCTTCCTTAGGAAAGCAATGAAGTCCCGGCCGCCAGCAGACAGAGGTACGTAAAGTAGACCTGCGATGACTTCCAGTCCGTTAGCAAGCTGCAGATCCGGATAATCTTGTGTCACAGCTTGCGAGACTTGTATGGTGCTTGTGAGCAGAATGGTTACGAACACAGTCAAATCAGAAATATAGGTACACCCACTCGAACTGCTTGAGACGAAGATACTCCGCAACGATGAGGATCTCCTGGCCGTGCTGATTGGGCCCAAGAATCTTCGCTCCTTCACCGATGACAAGCACGCCGTAGTCTGCATCGAAAAGACCGAGTAAATCGTCAGCATTTGACACAATATACCCTGTTGGATGCTGTTCTGAGGATCCCGTATTGATCTGGAACGTAAGACATGAACGACGATATTTATTGAAGATAATAAGCGCGAGATACCAGTTTTCGGGTATGTAAACGCTGCGCGTAAGTGAGACGCTCAATATTGCGCGATATAGATTGACTCAGGAGTCGAAGCATCTGACGAACTGGGAATGACACTCGCATACCGTGGAGGCCATACGAATGACAAGCGACCAATCCCCAGAGGCTGCCGAAAGCCATTATTGACTATAGATGAATGAGCACGACATGAAGACAAATATAATAATCTATACTTACAACAGACATTGAGGCCCTAACACCCATGTTTTCCAGGTCTAGTGCAACGAGTTTTAACGAAGTCCGTGCAGTAGCTGTGACGACCGACATTTCAGATGAATTGGACTCATAGCCCGCAAATAACAGTGTGTCATGTCCTGAACATAATCAATGAACGAACGAAATTTTGCACAGAAAGAGTACATACAAGGGGTGTCTCGAGGTCACTCTTATTCCGAACGACGAGACGGGCTGTAGGCTGGCCGCGATCATATAGGAGACGTACTCTGTCTGCAGAGATGCGGCAATGAGCGAGCTCGTAGTTAACACAATTTAAATATCATACTTAGAGCGTACAGATTCCGGGCCTAATACCATTCAGTAGCAACTCCTCGTAAGGCAGGCAAAGAACTCACCTGCGCAGGAATATCACTAGCAGGGAAATGCAAACCTCGGTATAAATCATGGGTTTGATCCCAATCAACGAGCTCTGCAACAACTTGTCCATTCCACACTTCGTCAAATTGATAGACTAAGACACGATGAAATTGAGTGAGATCTTTGATGACGCCTGCAACCACCTTCAGGAACGTCTCGAGATCAGTCGCGGAACCAAGTTGCTCGTTGATCTGTGCCATGACGGCGAAAACGTCCATCATTCCCACAGTGCCTGTCCCGCGTCGTCTGCGTGGTGGACCCTGCCGTGTATTGCTCTGGTTGGGAGATGTAAGACCTTCCATGGCGCTTTTTCGCGTCCGACGTAGCCGTTCTAAAGCAAGCAGGGGCTTTGCACGGCTGGTCGTACTCTCCATAATTTCTTCAGGGCTAGGCATCCAATCGTCGGGTCCTGGAAAATTGTACGCGGAGCTCTCTTGGGAAGGTGTCGACGACGTCTCTATTTGCCCAGTGACGACAGATGAATCACTACTAACCAAACTTGATGTAGAATCTTCCGGAGTAACCATTCGTTCTTCGGAACTGGCACTGGCAGAAGAAACCAAAGTGCGCGCGGAACTGTTAGAGGTTGAGATGGACCCATTCGAGGGGGAAGATACGCCAGATTGGAAGGATCCCTCTTCCGCGAATGGGGGATAGAGGGGATTAAAAGTATCCTTTTCTAACTCAAACTCAAGGATGATCAGACTTTGCGTACTTGCATGACTGTTCGTACTGGAGTCGTCATTAATCGAGCCCAAATTGGTTGGCGCTACCATTTGTGGTCGATGGGCAGCACACCAACAGGTCCAATTTCGCCGGTTATGAGGATCGCGCGACATGGTGTCTGGAAATGCCGTATTGGGCTCCCCCCAACCACTGAGCATGAACACGTGAAGATTCTCGGCCTGTTCTTCCGGAGATAACGAGGTATCAGTCAAATATTGTATGTTATCGAATAGAATGTCGCTTTGCTGCTCTGAGAGTGTTTCGCTAAAGCACGCAAGCGAAAAGAGATATCGAGGTGAAAGACCCAACAGCTCGGTTGAATTCTGCAAAAAGAGTTTTAGACACAAGGATAGTCAAGTCATCAGGCTCGACTTTTACCTCGGACACCTGGCGAACTACTAGATTGCCCGTTTCTTCGTTCTCCTCGACCGCTATCAAAATGCCAAAACCCTGAACTGCACCTGGTGTACGTATAGGCTGCAGCAATATCAGAACCGGTAGCAGATATTCCACCATAATGATCTTACCTCGTCTTCGCATTTTGTCAATTTACCTTCTCTTCCTACAATTAAATGATGTCCATTTTCATCTAGGACATGCCGATATCTGAACCCGTAGTAAGATCCATCGGATATAGATGAATCGGTTTGACTGCTCCTAGAACCCGTTACTATATCGCCCGCCGGCGCTGGAGAGACTGGTCTAGATCCTTGCGTGGATGGGAGCTGAGCGATTTCCACCTCTTGCACAGATTCCAAGTTTATATCTGACATCTTTCCCGAACTTCGGCTCGTCCGCCCTCGAGATCTTGACGATGTAGAGGATGGCGCTGACGCAAGTGGAGGAAGATGAACAATACCTTTGTGCGAGAAGTGTGAGTGCAGTGATTGATCGGAATCACTGTCCGGTGGCTGAGACACAAGCACTTGCGCAGTATGTGCAAACGCATCTGCCGCAACCTGGGCAAATTGCGCTGGGTGACGATAACCAAATCCTTCCTCTACTCCGTCGTCGGCAACGGCATATATCACAGGGCTTCCAGTAGGACTACTCGCATCTATCTTTGCAGAAGGATAGTCCGGATCTGGCCGAGGAAAATATCCTGCCTGAGCGGTAGAGAAGGTCCTCTGGGAAAGCGGGTCCTCGTTTGGTGGGAAGTCGCGAAAGTTGGGAGAAGGGCGCCTGCGTCTCCTTATGTCGCTGGTAGAAACGAGGTCGGCAGAGGGCGACATGACGAGTGAATTTGAGGGCACCTCTCCGCCGCTGATCGCTTCCTGAGGCAGCTGTCTAACTAGCTCTTCATGGGAAAAACTCGGTTCGTTTACCTCGGCATCGGAGAGTGCGGACTCATCTGTGCACAGACATCGTTATGGAATTACGAGTGAACGGCATCACAAACGAGAGGCTCACCATGAATAGTCAAGGATGATCTCTGACCAGCAACCGGCTTGATCCCGCTCAGCAAAGAGCGCACAGGATAGATATAAGATGAGCCGCCAGACGAGCCACTAGTAGTCGCTTCTACTTGACTTTTGACACGTCGAGCAGCTTCTTCAGTGAACATGAGCGCGTTGATTGTGGTCAAAAACAGTCCCGAGGAGCGCAGTGACGGCGAGCGCGAGGGTTCGGGGATTTCCAGATTTGGACAGCTTTAGACCTCTCTCTAGTCACCAGCGCCAGCTCCAACTTGAAAGTTGAATTTCAGCGGCAGGTCAGCCTGAACTTTGATCGAGCATTCGACCACTTCTTGTTTCTTCTTTTGTTCATGCGACAACTTGTGATATTTTGGTGATCTTAAGTTCTGACCGTTCTTTCTCGGTCTTGTGTCGCTAACTTCCGCTAATTTTGTGTCACGATGTATTTTTCTGACGCTCACCCAAGTTTATGAGGACTCAGTTGTATAGTCAGCCATTTGGCGATTTGACCGGTGTGCACACGTCATCCTTGACCGTTGACCTTTGAAATAAGAAATGTTCATTCGTGTGCTCATCTGAGTATTTGGGTTTTAACGCGCATGCTGATGCAGGTGAGTACCCTTCTAGTCGGAGGTCTCTTTACACTTTGACAGCAACTGGAATGCACACATGTCAAACATGCACAATCCCTGAGTTTGCGTGGCCAAAGCCGAGTGAATGGTAATCTCACTATGAACAACGCAAGGGCATATGTATGTCCGAGGTATGTTAGACGTCTTATCATTATTGCTGTAACCACGAGTTCGAAGATACAATATCTGGAATGGGTCTCTAACCGCATCTAAAGCAAGCTGATATAGCATTCGTCTTTCAAACCTTCAATACTCAACCGCTGCAACGAGATCTATGCGCGACATGGCTCACAGCTCACGGAGTCATCCGGATTTAGACTCATCTGAGGATCGTGTAATCATCTCACTCCGCGTCCACGGAGGCTAAAGTGTCTTGGTATTCATTGCACGGGAGATGTCATGGAGAGGTGGACCCGCGCAGTCCGGACGCTCCTGCTGAAGCTGCGTCAGTCTATTTCCTGTGCCGGATCCACAAGCACGGGTGTTATGCACGATGAGAAATGCCGGCAACGAACATATCCATCCAACTGTCATGAGACGACAGAACGCAACCACGGGACAACTTACAGCGCTTTGGGCATCGTTCAGCTGAACAGAAAAGCTTGCTTTATCTGCTCGTCCGAGTCAGAAGCTGTTCAAATCGCCGTACTCAACGCCTGGAGTGCCGGCCGGAACTGTCTGCCGAGCGCCCGTTCAAAGTTAATCGCGGCAGCTGCGGCAAGTCGGGAAGTCCAGGGAGGTTCTGAGGACGGGCTCCCATCAGCGGAATGCCACGAGTGAAACTATTCGCTCGGGTGACTCATCGTGCAATTCAATGCTATCCTTGACTTTCTTACATATATGATCCAGGCCGTACGAGAGCACCTCTCACGACTTCACGACCTCACGAGCGGCGAGCAAGTGTGGACACATTTGACTCAGGTAGAATGGTCGGCGACACCCAGAGCACGGCTACTTTAGCTCAGCTATCAGCAGATCCGCACACAGACCCACCACCGCAACCTGACTCTGGGAACGATGAGAAGCCAGTCGCTGTTACGTCGAAACTTGACATCGAACATGCGACAGTACGCGACGATCCTCGGAAGTGGTCGAAGACTCGCAAGGTATGCCTATAATTCATGTTGCCCGTCATGCCAAATTCAGAATGGAAGGACGTTAGTATGTTGGGGTCGCAATGGTCTCTTTGGCGGCGATGGTCGCTGGTTTGGGCGCGAATATTTACAATCGTGAGCTTACACTGTGGGGGATTGTCTTTAGATCGTTGACAGTATGATAAGCCGCGATCTCTCAGATTGAAGCGGACCTACATGCGACGCCAAGCCAGCTAAGTCTGACCTTGTCGCTTTTTATCCTTATCCAAGGAGGATTTCCTTTGATATGGAGCGCCGTCAGCGAGGTCCAGGGACGCAAGGTCAATATCATTCTTTCCCTCGTCTCCCCCGCTCAGAATATTTACCATTTTTCAGAGGGTCTACTTGGTCTCGCTCGTAATATGCACAGTTGGTTGCATTGTCTCAGCAACCGCCAAAAGCATCAACGTGCTGATTGGTATGCGGTGTGTTCAAGCGGCAGGGTAGGTCAAAATTTCGTCTCTAAGACAGCGTTCTCTTTACATTGGATTTTGTCCAAGTGCTAACATTTTCATTTGCTTATCAGATCGAGTGCGGTTATTTCCATTGGTGCCGCTACCTTAGCAGATATGTACGACCCGGCCGACAGAGGTACAATGATGGGTATTTACTATTGGTGAGTGTCGTTGTGCCAACTACTCGTTCCAAAAGACTTGACTTAAACACTACTGTCTGCCCCCTTCTTCTGTGTTCACTAGTGCACCTCTTCTCGGACCCTCTCTTGGCCCTATACTAGGTGGTGTGCTTACCCAGGGTTTCAACTGGCGCGCCACTTTCTGGTTTCTCGCGATCTTTACCGGTTTCTGCGCTGTCTCGTTCTTATTTTTCAAAGACACGTTCCGCCTAGAGCGCAGCCTTACCTATCAGACGGCACTACGACGTTTACTCGAGCATGAGGCAAAGAAAACTCAGGTAGATGCAGAGAAACGTCGACATGAAAAGGATGTGAAGGAGCAGGATGAAGACAACGGCAACAGCACGTCTATGCATGATGTAGAGGCCCAGGCGGCACAGCTGGCAGACGGAACCGCGCTGCCAATCAAGGAGATCAAGTTGTCTCTCATGGATATCAACCCCGTTCGCCCGATTGTGCAGGTTCTGCGCCGTCAGAACAATATCATGATCCTCGTTGCTTCTGGCAAGTTCGGTCGTGATTTTCAAATGCGCAAATGAATGACACTTCTGTTCGCTAGGCCTCTTGTTCGCGTTCAACTTCAGCATCACATATACGGCTGCACGTACACTCGCCGACCAGTACCATTATGATGCCCTCAAGGTTGGACTTGCTCTCCTAGCATATGGTGTAGGTACGCCCTTATGAACCGCATAACGACCTCGTACAGTGGCCTTGACACGCACAACAGGCTGTCTGTTCGGCAGTATTTTAGGCGGCCGCTATTCTGATTATGTCTTCAAACAACTGAAAGCAAAGTTCGGCGACAAGATGTATCCGGAGGCACGCATGTGTACAGTGACCCTTGGCGCGGCGAGACGTACTTATCCTGTATATTCCATTATCTAGCTGCGCCTTCAGAGCACACTGGTCCCGATGCTGTTCTTTCCGCCATCCGTAGCCGCATACGGCTGGGTGTGTGAGCGCCATGTCAGCATCGCTGCCGTGTGTGTGATGCTTTTCCTCTCTGGCTTCTTCCAGATGTATGTCACATGTTTCTGTACTAGTGTTGCAGAGATATCTTGCTGGATAAACATCGTGTTGACAACCGGTTCTCTTGTCTTGCAGATGCATATACACTAGCACCCTCGCGTACATTGTTGACGCGAATGTCGGTCGTTCATCCTCTGCCGTTGCATCAAACAGCTTCTTCCGAGGGCTTTTTGCGTTCGTCGCCACCGAGATCGCTGTACCGTTGCAGGTGCGTCTTACTTTTTTCGCGTTTTCATTCGTCTACACTATTTCATTTGTGATGCCATGCTGTGTGCTGACATAGATTCTGCGCCTTTTGTGGCTGGCCTACTCAGGATTCCATTGGCGACGGCGGCCTTTATTCCATGTGGACCGGTCTCTTGTTCATCTCAGAGGCAATGATGATCCTCGTGTGGTGGAAGGGCCGTGAATGGCGGGAAAAGGCTGTGGCGCAAGAGGCTCGTCGCTCAGGAGCACAGTGACTGAGGGCATACCTCAGACCGGACTCTTGAGACCATCGATGCTCAAGACGTAGAGATAATTTAGGTTGTAGACGTCCTCTAGGAACATCGTATATCGATACCTTAAGCAGGGAAAGCTCGAGGTATTTCAAGACTATAGATCTTACATGGCTATCGAGTACGTTATGGTGATATTGTATTTCCAGGATATACGCATATATTTGCGATAGAATATCTATTCTGTGGTCGGCCTTATGCGGTACAATTCCTGTGTTGGACATTGCTACATTCACGAAGTAAATGTATGGACGCTCGAACAAAGTCCCCGAGCATCACTCGCATGCAGTACGATTTGAAACTGGTCTAAACGATTTTGCACACAGCGACATCTACGAAATCACTTAGCGTCGAAACGAATGGTAAGTGGGTCCTTTCTACATATACCGTGATCGCAATTTTGTATGGTTCAGATTGGAACGGCTCTGAGTTCATTATAGAACGTCACCTTGTCGGCATGGCATCCTTGAGTTGACACAGCCCCGAAATCCAGGTTTTAATGAACCAACTGTGAAGCTGGTTCAGCTCTCCGCTCACGGTCATTACCAAATTCGTTGTGAAATGACGATGGGGGAGACGGAGTTTGGCAAGGGTTCGAGATCACATTCGACTTAGTATGCATAGTCATAGTTGTACGTGCATTATGTCATGAAAAGGCATACGTGCAGACACCCACTTTGGCAGCGATCGAGCCATGCTGTGGACGAGTGATTTGAACAATGTCCTTTACCGCTGTGGTGACGACTTTCCGACTTCCTGGTTGTTGCTGTCCGCATGTTCAATGGACACAACAGTCGCTCCGAGACCCTTTACATGCGATCTTAAACGTGTTCCACCGGGAACGACGTTAATACATGCCGCAATTTATCCTCAATGAAGTGAGAAATAAGGGAACCAGGAGATGAATAACGTCGCGCACCTCCACACTGTGATGCTTTTGACATCGTTTCGCGCTTCCAAGTCTTTTCGGGTGCAATTAACTCCGCATGGGATCCAATGCACTGAGAGGGAGAAGTATACCCATGAGGAGTTCACCTGGCCACCAGCAAAAGGTAACTAAACAGCCAAGAATATGTTCATGCTCCACCCGCGATTTCAAACCCCTCGAGGCTTAGTGGCACAACATCTGCGACACTTAATACCTCAACAGCGCGGTGTGCTGCGCATCTGAAGCCAAATCCACTCACCGGCAACGGGAAAAAACGGCGCACTGTGTCCTCATGCACTTCCCGATTCACGCATCCTTGGCGTGAAAGTCACCAAAAGCCTACTGATCAAAGGTGCACTATGAAAGTGGTCAGTTTACGTGCAAAGATGCATATAGATTTCGGCCTCCGTACGCTGCCAATGATTTCGCTTGTTTCAAATTGCATTCATTTGTAGAATGTCAGAGGACAACGACCAGCGTGAGACAACGCTATTGAAAAGTAATGGCATGTAATCAGTCTACGTTGCTAGCAGAGATTGCTTCATCGGAGGGAATGGTTAACGTTGCCATTACTGCCTGTATCACACTTGACGATCCGCAACACTAATCAACGAGGCAGCCATGTGCAGGGCGACACATACCACTCCTAGTCAAAGATCCGACCACTGTTCTCAGAATTTTATATACAGACAAGTCAACAAATCTGCACATGAGACCAGCAATGACGGCCAATCACCGGTCAAGCCCCAGAACAATGCTCGCTCTACTAGCACAGATGCAACGCACGGATAAGAGTTTCATCATAAGGCATGATCAGTGACCAAGCCAAAGTAACGCGATACCAGAAGGTTGACTTTCGAAGCAGCTGCGATGAAGAAATGATTACACACTAGCAGGAGAAAGGCTCAAATCAGAACGATACAGGCCAACAGCAAGGATAAAGTTTGGACAACAGTATATGCAAATGTGTGGATATCTTACGGTAGACATTAAAACACTAATAGACCTAGGACTTAAGCGAGGAGCATTTTCCTCGGATCCTCTAAGTAGTCCCGTACTTTGACTGTAATGGGCACGTCGTTGTACAAGGAGAGAATTCGGCAGATATGATTATGGCAGTTTAGCTCAGTGACTGACGATAGGGAACAGAGCCCACGCACCGAGGAATGTAACGGCCTCCCGTCCGTCAAGTAGACGGTGGTCGTATGTCAGGGCAACAACCATGATCGGGCGAATGACGACTTGACCGTCAACTACAACAGGGCGGTCTTTGATAGCATGCATACCTAGTATGTGGAACACGATGCATCGTCAGTAACAATCATGTAGACCTAAGACAAAAGGGAGCAAGAAGGGCACAAGAGATCCCAAGCGGAAGGAATTGATAGAGATGATAGCGTGAGACTCGAGAGCGTTGACAATAATTACTCACCAAGGACGGCGGATTGAGGAAGATTAATTATGGGGGTACCGTATAGAGACCCGAAGACACCTCCGTTGGAACTAGACGCAGATACAGGTCAGCGAAATCATACGTGAGATAGCGGCAAGATGACGCACATAGTGAAAGTGCCACCCGCCATGTCTTCGAGTGAAAGCTTGCCATCCCTCGCCTCAAAGCAGACGTCAGCTGGCACTACTTGCCATCTTCGAGATTGAGGCGACATACCTTCTTGCCTAAGGCCGCAATCTCCCTTTCGATCTCGACGAATGACATGCCCTCCGCATTCCTTACAACGGGGGTCACAAGACCCTTAGGAGTCGCTACGGCAACGCTCAAATCGACATAGTCGCGGTATACAATCTCGTCACCATCAATTGACGCGTTCGCTGCCGGGATCTCTTTCAGCGCTAGAGAACATGCCTTCGCGAATGCGCTCATGTACCCAAGCTTCACATCGTGCGTCTTCAACACCTCGTCCTTATACTTCTTCCGCATGTCCATCAGGCTGTGCATGTCGATCTCGTTGAACGTCGTCAACGATGCCGCAGCGTTCTGTGACTCCTTCAACCGCTCCGCGATGCGCAGCCGCATTCGGTTCATCTTCACTCGAGTCTCCGTCCGCGCTCCTGCCACTCGCGGCGATGGAGCCTCTTTCGCATCCTTGCCCTTCTCCGGCGCAGCTTTCGGGGTCTCTTTCACCTCCTTCTTCGCTTCTCCCCCCTGCACGCCAGCTGTATCTTTCGCACGTACATCTTCGGGTGCCGGGCTCGGGGGCGACGGTGTACCCTTCTCCACCTGCTGGTCCTTGGGCTCTGACTTGTCTTCGGTTTTTGGTGCCGACTCTTGAGTTGCCTCACCGGGTTCAAAACGGAACAGGTCTTGACCAACACTAACGGTGTCTTCTTCATTCGCAAGATGTTCTGTTATCCTACCCGCAGCGGGCGCGTTCACAGAAACATCAATCTATTGCAACCACGTCAGTGATCAGCCCAATGAAATTACTCCGCTGTCATTACATGCGAGCAGACATGCAGTAGGTCATCATAGCCATGTCCTCAAGTACAAGCAAAGCCCGAAAAACCTGAGGCAACGCGTAGTTCCATCGGGATCGCCCTCCGTCTGATAGACGGCTCCCGTCCATGCATCAGCGGTGTATTGCAACGCAGAGAATGGTCCAAGATGTGTGCAGCTATGCACGATACAAGACCCACCATGCATACTGCGCATGCAATTAAGACACGTAACACATTACTCGTAGCTCAACAACTCGCAGCCTTCAGGCATGCATCGCACATGCAACGAAGCGTCAATCCCTTACGCACCTTGTCGGTCTCAATAGTAGCAACTTCCTCGTCAGCCTGTACAGCATCTCCGGGTTGTTTCAACCATGACTTGAGTGTACCCTCCGAAATGGATTCCGCCATCTGCGGCACCTTGACAGTCTCCGCTGTTTTAGCGGAACACGGGTCCGACAGCGATATCATTAGCAATAGCGTTTGTGAGGAGGAACCATCCAGACTTGCCTTTCAGGAGGTTTGTGGAGTGAAATTGCGAACGTTGCGCGTACGATGCAGCAAGTTTCCTGGAAGAAATGGTCGCCTTAGGGAACATGCGATACTCTGCTGCTATTGACATACCATCCTCGCGACACATCAGCGCGAAGTGCACGTCCGCGCGCGAGAGCGACTAATTGTCTTGATAGCATTGCTGAAGTTGCTGGCGACAAGTGCGTTGCCAGCAAGCCAGAGGCGGTGGAGATGAGAAATGGTAGGTTATGCCACATGTGGGAGCGACGGGGGATGATGTAGTGTTGCAGGGCGCACGTGACTCGGGAAAACCGACCAAAGCCGACATATTTTGCTACGAGTCCAAGTCAGGCATTGGTCAGATATCTCGCGGTGAGAGACAAGTGCGAGACGAGGAGATTGGGTAGATCGATACAAATCTGCATGTTTTTTCTCACACTACAGGGGTATCGGAGCTTTCAACCACCGTAAACCTCGGGTCTCAGCCGGAGAGAAACTTGCCTCTAGTGCGGCCGCCACGGATACGAGGAAAATGGCGAGGCAAGTAGAAGTCAAATGTAAATTATACGATAAAAACATGATACCATAATACCGTCCTCCATTTTATCATCCAAGTGTCAATTTAAATATCCTTCATGAACGCCAGCATGAATGGGGGACGTGCATAGAAAACCTATACTACTTCTTCGTTTCCCCACAGACCTCCCAGGGCTGCGAGATTCTGTGCGATTCAGAGGTGAAGCTTAAACTGGGACCTACCGAGCTGCTTCTTGGGCCAAGGCCTTCTCTCGCCACTGTGCACCCTTCCACCATACGAGCAGAAGTAGCGCCTCAGAGACGAACATAAGTCCCCCCCACATTGAGTATAACCCACCATCACCGATAGAATCCTTGGCGTGATTGGGACGAGGAAGTGCGGTTAAGAACGAATGTCAGGCTAAGGAGTAAGAGCGAGACACACCTGGAGTGGAACCGCAACTTCTGCGGCGACGAAGGCTAGAATACCACGGAAGCAGCTATTACAAGCAACGGCCGAAGAGGAGCGACCAACATTTGCATCAACAATGTATGCAAGAGTACTCGAATAAATGGATCTAGAAAGATGCATATAAGTACATTTAACAAGAACACAATGGAGCAAGCCGTCGACTTACATCATGAAGAAACCCGAAAAAAATAGGATCACACACACTGCCGCGATGTGAACATGCTCTTCACAGATCCATCCGTATGCAACGACGCAAGGCGGGAAAAATACCATGGGCAGCATGGTGCTCTGCAGGCGCATCTGTATGTGCAAAACCAGAAATGAGCGCAATGCTCGTCAAGGCATAGCACTACACAGATTGCGTGCCTCAGCAGTGCCCTTTCCGCCATTTTGAGCCTTCAACTTCTGCAGAACGTGGTCGGAGTAACGTCCGCCGACTATACTGCCAAGTAAGGCGCCTGGTCACGCCAGAATAAATCAATCAGCTAGCTGAGCCGATATCTTATCGCAAGGTGCGGCTCACCCGCTCCAAAGGCAAGCAACACGAGGCCAATGTTGAGCGCATCGTATTGGTATTCGTTTGCTAACGTTCGTGACGCCGTGTATGTAAGACTGAACTCGAATGCAAAGAGCAAGGCTTATGACGCGGTCAGACATTTGGTGAAGTATTCAGTGAGGTGCATAACGTACCGGAGGCTACTATGATTATGACGTTATTCAATCGGTGTAGCACTTGAACCATGGGACCTATGATATTTGCGTCTCTTAATGTCAACTTGATATCCGTCACAGATGTTAATTCCTCTTTTGTGGAGAGCTGAGCTTCGACATCGCCCACCACAATGGTAGTCGTAGTGGACGCGGTTTCTTCCTTCAGCTCCTTGAAATCGGGGCTCTCCGTAGATTGCACTTGGCCTGAAGTTGGGGTGGCATGAGATCCATGCGAGGGACTCTTGACTTGATGTGCTTTGATGCGTTTCAACACGGTCTGATAAGTAAGACTGCGTTCTTTGCGAAAGGTATCCTTGAAGAATATGAATGATATACAGCAGAGACCGGTGAAGATGACAAGGAACCAGAATGGTGCACGCCAGTTGAAAACTTGCGTTAGAGCGCCGCCTAATATGGGCCCAACAGAGGGTCCGAGTAGAGGCGCGCTGATGTCAACAATTTGGGCAGAATGAAACGAGGAATGGATGAGAATAATATGTGAGTTGGTAGAGCTACATGAGAAAATATGGAGGTACATACCACAAGTACAGACCCATCATCGTCCCCCTCTCGGATGGCTCATATAGGTCTGCAAGTGTCGCAGCTCCAATAGAAATAACAGCACTTCCACTGCAAATGCAATACAATAAAGTCAAGATTAAACGAAGTGTTGCCGTGATACTTACCCAGCAGATTGTAACATTCGCATAACAATCAGAATTTGAATGGACTTGGAAAGTGCAGCCACAATGGATCCCACAGTGTAGAGAGCTATCGACAACAGATAGACCATCTGTCGGCAGTACCAGCTGCTATGAATTTGCAATGCACAATACGCCAGGCGATTGGTGCTTACCTTTCGACCTTGTATTTCGCTGACCGCACTCCATACGACGGGGAGAATCCCTTGAACCAGGATAAATAGTGACAATGTCAAGCTCATCTGATTGCTTGTCGCATGTAAATCCGATTCAATCTGAGATATCGCAGCTACACGAGGCTCAATGAGTATCATGCCACAGGCGATAAGATGATGGAGCCGTACGATTGTAGATGTTACATCCAAATCCGGCTATTAAAGCTGCGGCACATATCATCACCACTATCGTGAGCTAGATAAATATGTGGTAAGTACGACAACCAACGGGTAAATGAGCCTCGAGCGTAAGAATTTACTTACCCTACGAGCTTTAGACCATTGACGAGGGTCGTCTTGGACATACGCATGTTCAATATCAGGTTTATCGGCATGCGTAGACGCGACTCTCTTTTCGGATTGATGGGTCTTGACAACATCGATAGCTTGGATCTCGTCGGATGCCATCTTTTGACGTCTAGGGAACTGCACAATATAAGCAGGAACAGAGGAAAATTCGAGTCGTTGAGTTGAGACATACCCCAGTGCGCGAGTATTTATAGCAGCTCAGCAGAGCCGTTGAGTCCCTTGACCAACAACCGGCTGAGTCTCCTGACCAAAACGTAAAAGGCGCGACCGTTCATAGCAGCTACCTCTGGGTCGAGGGCGTTGTTGGAACATCCTAGTTGAGCTTTCGAAACCGAGATGCGCAAGAGTGTGCCCTCTGCACTGCCGAGGGCTCCAAAATGACGTGCATATGCGTTTACGTGGATGTATTAAGCGTGTACGTTGTAGATGCATGATGCTAGCCGGCCGTTCGCTTGGCAGCAAGGTGTTCTGAGCAAGAATTTGTTCTAAATCGACTGGTTTCAATGATTGCCTTCACTCGCGACACAGGAAATCAGAGGAAACGTACGATCAGACAAGGATCTTCGGGCCTACGACAAGGCCTCCGTATACCATGTATTCACATGCGCCTCTACACAACGAGGACATCTGTGGATGAGATTTCGCCGGCAGGGCAGTCTTTGGAAGACCTGTGGCGTCCGTTTGCCTCCGGGGCGCGCGAGGGGTGCTGAGGCTTTTCCGCCAAGCTTCCACCGTGACTTTTTGTCAATATTATTACGCTTGGAGAGGTCCGTACTTAGCTTGCGAGTATCTGGTCTGCCTTAGGAAGACTAGTACATAATAAGAGCAGCACGATTCATGACCGATTTCCGGTAGTCAAACTGCACGAGGGTGTTTGCTAACCTACTTCAATTAAAAGACCTAGACGGGGGCCGTACTCTTCACCGTAACTCTTCTGAACCTCCCGAACAAGTGACAATGCATTCTTGGTGCGTTCTAGCCAAGGGATCCAATTTCTCACAGTCACATGTGCATTTTCGAGACACCATCTGAATCTAACTCCCTCCATGAACTACGTATATGGATACTAGGCTGTTGCATTTACTCCACTTATCGAGACATACAGTGTGCGGAAACTTCCCATCTGAGAAAACAGTCCCTGCATTGCAGAAGACTGAATACTAAGTTTAAAACACCCACCGCTTCTCCTGAACATTGATATTATAGCCTCCAGCTTATTGGATTTGCAGCCTATATAAGCCCTCTGCAACTCACCTCGCGCGTCTGCCCGAGCCTTTTCACAGAAGATACTCCCAGTAATGTTAGACGATATGCCTAGAGCTGTAAGTGGTGCTTCCCGTTCACGTCTGCACGCCCGCTATCCGATACGGACTACCGACGCTCCAACCGAACAGAGACTCCTACCGTATGCTGGCGGTCCTGTACTTTTCGAAACGGGTCAATTTGCGGGGCGCACGTTGAGGTTCAAGTTGCATGAGTTGCAGAAAGCTGACGCTGGTCGAAAGTGAGTCTTACGGCTGCCAGGCTGTGTGTGCCAGTAGTGGACTGACCGACAAAGGTTTACACGTAAGGATCGGAGGGCCCTCGATCCGCCCCCTGTTGTATCTTTGACGCTGTACGAGATTATGAATCCCGTTTTGTCGACCGAGAGGGAGGTGGAAGTAGGATCGGACAGGTACAGAAGTATTTCTCAATTATTAAAGACATGCTCATAAAACTCTTCAGCACTTTCCGAACACTCGGTCTTTTATGTCACGTAGAACTGTATGATGTTTCCGTATTGGAGTCAAGAGACTTGCGGCCCGGGAGATTCATTCCCGCAGATGTGGTTCGTTTTGCACCCAATCTTGTCTATAGCCTTCTATGACTGAATTGTCGCTGTTAGAGCCCACGCGACGCGTCTACGTCAAGGGTACCTTCGGGTACTACATCCCAAGCTCCGTTAGCTTCTCGAGGATCGGACACGTACACCAACAGGGTTCCGCAAGGTCTCGATCGCTATCGTGATTCACTCCTGTCACCAACGGCACCAAACCCTACGGTATATGCACCCTTTCCACGGGAGTTGTTCGTGCCGACGTCCCCCATCTTGGCTCGATCATCAGGCAGGATTGATTCAACTGCGCGCGAACGCCATATCCTCACCACCGACGATTATCTATGTACCTCGGAACTTGCAGGAACAACTGTGGCCGAAGCTGCTTGCGTGGATTTGAGGGGGAAGAGCACGCTAATGTTTATATTCTCAGTTTGTCTATCCATTTTTGACACATCTCCCCCGAAAATTATCTTTCGGTGGGGGTATCCAATTGATAATTGCGGTTCCCTACTCATTGACGCTATTTGTTCTTAGGATTTATCGGTGAAGCGAGAGGGCGAATTCATTCTCCAGTACCGAGTATTCGACGTCATGTCCACTATATGCGGGGGAGTTGGACACCCCATTCTCGCTGAATGTTATGGCGGACCATTCCAAGTCTATGCAACAAAGGAATATCCCGGACTGCGGCCTTCTACTAACCTTACAAAGGTCAATTCTCGTTTCATGATACTCCTTTCATCCTAACAGCCATTGTAGCATCTTTCTCGTTACGGGATTCGTCTCAATGTACGCGAGAATGAACGCCGCAGGAACAAAAAGGAATATGTCGAATCATCCGAAGTGTTGTCCCAAACCGTGTCTTCTGCTGATACGAACGATTACTCAAAGCGAAACGTTGGCTCACCCATGTTCCCAATTTCACCCAGCACGTCTTCCACGGGTTCTGGTTTCGGTCTGTGATAGTTATCGCTATTTAATATGACTTTTGATACCTGGAAGGTTTGTAAAGTACTTGTATGATATGCCTTTGACCCGTTAGGACACACACTGATAGTTATGTCCGGTGATCGCTTGTCTCTCGGAACAGCATCAGTATCCTTGAGACTCTGATTTCGGTCGGCACTCTTTGAAATATCCAAACGTGTTCTTCTCTCATGGATCTGTAGCGTTGGTGCTCATCGTTGTATCTTTGATTCCCAAGTATTCTACGATATATGTGTTTTTTTGTTTTTTTGTTTTTTTGTTTTCAGTATGTCAGGATCGACTCTATTCGTGCGGCTTAGGGGAACAGGAAATGGTAAAAGACGCGCTGTCATCTGAACTTCGGCAGAGTACCCAGACTATGCCTCGTACATCTGGCATCGATACTAGCAATGAATAGTACTAGTAATGTCCACGTCCTACTCCGGTAGGTGATGTCAGACCACCAAGTGAACGGCACCGTGCCGAGTCGAATCCTGGCTCACCAGTGAGGCGACTTTTACTATTTGCTTTCGTACAAATCGCCGGAGCATGAGTGGGCCATCCATGTATTTGAATATTGAATTTGCCGTGCTGGACTAGCGTCACCCGGACTCAATCTGGTGCATGATCTCAGCGGTAAATAGCCGAACCTGTGACAGATGATTGAAGTAGAGTCTATTGTCGCATTGTGCTCTCCTGGAGGAAATCCCAACATGTACATCAAACGTCAGTGTCCTATTGTTTCCCTCCGCTTCGCCGTCAACGTGTCTTTTTGTGTCCGCCTGCCTCAGTCTAGCCGGTTGCCTTATTTAGAAAATCTCAGCCTACCGCTTGCTACTTCGACTTGTTTCCTTGGTAGCTTGCTAATTGTTTTGCTCAACGTGCTGTGAAAGTATGCTGTTGCATGAGGGGGTCTCTTAAGATGCGACTATCTTTCACGTCGCGTTTGAGCGACCGATCCCCCACAACATGGCCTCTTCACAGGTTATGTTTCTGCCATCTCAAGTGTTGACCATTGAGAGAGCGGAGAGCCGGGTTGAAGAGCTGCTCCGCTATTACCGTCATGGTGCGTAACAATTATGTTTCTCTTTCCTCGTGATGCGCTGAGAAATCGTGTTCTAGATGAGCACACGCTCTCGTCGTGGTTCTTGCCAACCCAAGATCGCGCGCAGGTTGATGAAGCGTTCAAAATCCTCATACGTTACACAGCTATCATCGAAGCATCGCTGGTCAAGTTGTGCTTATTTTTTGCCGACGACGTTCTGCAGATGGCCATTGCTATTGTAAGCATTGATCATCACGTCATTGATGCATATTTACTTATGAAGCCGTTCATGACTCTATCAGGTCGTGTGCGTGCACAGACAAAGAAATCTCCTCGTCGCCTCTGCGCATCGGGCTCGTGCGCGATATATCCTCACTCTTTCTAGTATTCGCGCAATGTCTCAGTATTTGGACACAATGCTCGCGGAGCTCTGTTCCTCGGCCCGATGGATGGCCTCGGAGAACGGTGCCCGGCACAGGCGGCTGGTAAACCAAGCCATATCGAGGATGCAGGCCTCCCTTGGCCGTTTCACTCGCGAGGATCTCACTGGAGGAGCACCTCTACCGGTAGCCATCTCTTGTGGACAGCCTAACTGTCAAAGCTACTCCTGCGTTTCCCCATCCACTTCTCGCGAAGCTGCAAATGAAGATCGCAGACGGCTTTCTCATACGCCTGAGTCAGATATCGAAGACGAAGGCGATAGGGATTTTATTGGCTGGGAGGCCACACCAGACTTGAACGTCCTGCTGCGTCACTTTGACCCCCTCACCATCCCTCTGGAAGAGATATCTCAGCATCGGTCACGCTTCGGACACACAGCAGAGCAAGAGAGGCTGCGCCGTCAAAACAATGGATGTCTGTCACCCTTGCAGACATTCTTGTCCACTATGGATAAGCTGCCTGATGTTGTTGCAGCTCACTTCTGCTCTCCGGGAAGTCATTTGTCTGGAGGGTCTTCTGATGAGGAATCTTCAGGTGGAGAGTCTTCCGATGGCCATAGCTCCGATAGTATAATGTCGAGCGACTCCGGCACCGTGGTGGATCAAGCAGGGTACCGACGACAAAAGTCTTCGTCCTTTGTCGACACAGCTATTTCCGTGCCGTCAGGCTCTAGGAAGCGGCGCCGCGCGGACGAACATACTTCTCTTTGCGACCCTCGACGGCTCTCCTTGAACTCTGTGGGTTCCTCTCCCAAACGGACGCGTTCGAGAGGCTCCACCAGGGAGGCTACAATCACGATGCGGAGGCGGGTAGCTCCAAGCATACTCGACCATGCCCCAGATCCCAGACGACGTCCCAGTTTCAGAAACGCCATCACGTCTAGTTTACCTCGCTCTCGCGAAGAAAACGACGTGTCCCGCCTTGCAGCCTTCGAATTATCAAGTGCTCGTTCGCGCTCTCCGAGGAGTGATCGGCAATCTGTATCACAAATATTGCCTAACGAGCGCACGGGCTACTCTTGGTTTGGGGGGTTGTTGGGGATATGTATGAGACGCCGCCGAGGTTGATCACGTTTAATTTCTCGCTTAATCGTGAGTTATTCCCCGTCTTCACGTGAATACGAGCTAAGAGACATCTCTGACGATCGCAGGTGTCAGGACCAGGCTGCTGAGTGGACGGTTGGTTCAAATTGACTACCATGATTCGATACCACGCATCTGTGACGAGCAGCATTGATGAACATGGGTTCATGACTAGAATCAATTGCCCGGCGCTCGGTGGTTTGCTCTTACCTGCCTTCTCTAAGTTCACTCCCGTTTACCTTGGGCATGAGGTTGGACGAATGGGATTCATTGTTGCACCTTTATGCTTATACTGACCTATGATGGCTGCCGGATGCATAGTATTGCCATATACTTGAACATCGATGTCTATACTTTAAATTTTCTTGGTGCATATGGATACAGGTTTAAGCTACATACAAATACGATACTTCGCAATGAATTAGTGGGATACCAGTACAAATATAATTTGGCGTATGGCTGATGAACGGGATAGGTCGGATTCAAATGCGTGAATGCCACACTGGCAGTAAGAACACTGACAGGCCACAGCAGAGATGAGAATGACCGCAGAGACAAGCCACAACGCGTTCGATCCATATCATTGCCCGACGCGAGCGAGGTCCTGTTGGATCTTTGCGCACTGTGTTGCTATAGGCGACGTTAATTGTAGTCCAGCAGGATAACTCTCGTCCGAGAAACGCACCCATCAGCACCGATGTATGGCCGAGGGACATCATGGCCACCATGACTTTGTTTACAGCCGATAAGAGCTTGGCACGCTCCGCCTGTGCATACTGCAGCTGCTGGTTCCCATACATGGATGCGCCAATATAGACGGATCGGAGGCGCAACATCTCGTCAACGAGCACACGACATACTGTTCTCCAGAGAATCTAACTCAAGATTTAACACACAGATAATATACGCACAGATGGGAAATAGATCTACCGCGAGGACGGGGTCAACAAACTTAAGCTGCGCAAGGCTGACACCGTCTAGAACGGCGGCAGCAGCCCTTGCTGCTGCCACTGCTCTACTCTCGGCTAAGCCCTCGGCCGAGTCCATTTTTAGGTGCAGCTGGATCGTCGCGACACTGGCAAGCGTGTGGGTCAGGAGCATTTGTGCGATGTCTTGCTCGGCGCAGATCTCAATGGGGGCGAGACCGGCTATGAAGTGGTCAATGACGCGATCCAGTGTGGCGAATTCAGCGGCGAGCCGGTCCATATTAGTACCTGCATCACTTATCAGTGTCGGCGGAAGAGTGGAGCTGTCAGACAGCACTGACTAGATGACCACCTCCCTGCCAAAAATGCGGCACGCCCGAACAAGGCGGAAGCTTGAACATGAAGAGCCACAATAGAGGTCGCATGCGGTGGGAGTGCTATCGTTTCGCAAAGGAACGATTCCACCGTCCGCGAGCTTCGCATGTTCGTAGCTAATATGCCCTAGGAAAGTGATGATCTAAGTCCACAGTCTGGACACCTGCTAGGGCGCGCGTACGGCTTCATAATCTTCGGTCCGCAAAGGCCACGGTGTGTCGATCTGTACCCCGGACATAGTGTCCATTTGCGGAGGCATCTGGCTAGCCGAACTCCATATTTGGTCGAGAATGAAGGCGTACCAGAATGCACTGATACGCTCCCCCTCCTCGATAGCGTCTTTTGGCTGTGGCAAGTCGAGTGTCATTGTGTGACTTGGGTTCGAACCCTGAGGAGAACCGGAAAGACCTCTGATCTGATACAAACGGCAGCTGAGCGCCAGGGCAACTGCTGCGCTGCGATGGTGCTGTCCCTCAGCGCGGCGCCCCGACCATAGATGATAGTTTGCGACAAGTACATGGGCTTGTATGGTGTGTGTGACATTGTATACGGGCATGTAAGCAGAAGCAGTGGCCAACGCCCTAGTCGCCCTTTGGAGGAACACAGGCTCATAGACCAAGAGAGAGGATAGAGAAGCAAAACGAACACCCCAAAGATATACGGCGTTCAGAAGAGCGGGTGAAACTCGGGATCTTTGCGGCTCGCTCATAGCCCTGGAAGATAAATCGTTGAACCGTGTTTTATGCAAGAAAAATCCGACTCTATCAGAATAGAGAAGGAAGATATTGGTCCTGGTTTGTCGGATACTAAATAATGGAACACCATGTACAAAAGAGTTGATAGCTCACATCGTACGAATTGTATTTGCAGACGGTTCGGGAGCTGCAGCTAAAGATGCTGATAGCATACTCGCAGCCTGTCTTAGCTGCCGTGCAGACATGTTCCCCGTCTCTGCCGCAACCGGGCTCTCATAAGCCCTGCTGGACGGTTCCTGTGCTAGTGACGGATGAGAGGCCATTGAGGAGATGATGGAGAAGGTATGACTTACATATTTGATGAGGTGACTCTCTATGAGTAGGATGATGGGCTCGTAGATGGGGGCGCTCCAATTCTCGCACTCGTTCCTCCAAGCGAGATATTTGCTCTTCTAGTACCTGAGTCCGGCTCGGTTGAGGACCTTCGAGGTACTCACACTCCGCCTCTCTGCGTGAGCGACGACATGGTCCACACACAGGTTTCACGTTATCGCATTTCTGTATGCTGTCAACAGCCGACTAGAGCACTTGATACGAGATGGCACTCACATATTTACGCTTCCGACAGTTTAAACAGGCAGAATTACGTGGAGCTCTGCGACTCGTTGATGAAGATGGTCCAGATTCTGAGCCCGTGGTAGACATGGAGCCGACTTCAGTGGTTTCAGCGGAAACGCGATGCCAGCTCGGAAACAAATCATATTCGTTTATAAAGTACATACCAGTTCCGCAGTGCGTCACGATCACATCGTTTCATTGCGAATACCTAGTACCCTGGTCATCTTAGAAGGACCGCAGCAATCGTATAGAAATGCCTTCCGAATCCATGTGGCCACTGACAAGGGAACGGGCGGCATCGGCCCAATCTGCGGTTTGAGCTACTAACAATGCGTAGTGACTGCGTGATGCGTTCTACTTGGTTTACCTGCCCTTCGGACCTATTATAATCGTCACGAGTATATATGATGACTTCGGGCTTCACGAAGTCAGACAAGGAGAAGCCGGTTATGCGAAACTATACGTAAAATCCCACAAGTCAGATCTCTTTGAATTAGATCCTGCTTTGAAGAATCATTTCAAGCAATAAGAGATGAGGAGGCAGCAGGTTTTGAAAAAGCCGTAGCTTGATCGTTTTGTGGCACAGCTTACCAGTGGGAAGGAAGGTTGTTTGTAGTTGTGTGGCAAGAGCTTCTGCCCTCTTTGCAAACTCACGCACTCACATACACTGCCTCAGCCATCGTCATGAATAGCTCTTAGCTGAGCTCGCAGCGACTGAAAAGGTGCTCGGCAACCGGGGTGATGAGGAGAACGACATTAAGGTCTATGTTGCCATCCCCGAGATCGCTTGCTACGCATTGCGCAGTGGTCCAAACGCGTAACGACTGCGCGTACGCACATGGTGGATGGATGAGACAGCCACGGGAGAATCTGAAGCGCTCATGGTCGAGTCAGTAAAGGAGGGACAGCCGACGTCGATGAGCTGCGGGCGCGGTAACGGGTCCGGAGAACGACGGTGTCGCAGCTGTCGCATGCTGACCACAAGGCTGACTGCCGAAAAGTCGAATCCGCAGCAGGCTTTTGTTAAATTATCATCAGACGCGATCGACCCCGTGCGATCTTCAAATTCCTCGATCGAATCCCGGTCATTACTCCTCGCTTTGTTAAACTTTGTCCAAGTTTACCCTGCCGCTGCGTATGAGATCATTATTATTCCGACCCCGGGCCACACTTGAAATCAATCCAACTGATAGCTGAATGTTCAATAACGCGCTTCGTGAAAGTTAAACAAATGTGATCACTAGGGATAACCATGTTGGATTTTATAATAGATCATTGTAACAAACCTGGTAAAGGAATACACACATGACGCGGCTGCCAGCGCAAGAAATGGCCAATTAATGGACAGTGGCCCTAGAAACAAAGTCAAGATCTGCTACTGTCCGAATTACATAAATAAGAGAAGGTAAGAAGACACGACTGCAGCGCGGAAGAAAATTGAAAACCAGGATAGCAATGGAACACACGCAGGATAGGAACGGCGAGGACATCCGCGACAGGCACCTACAATCATTCAGTAAGCCTACGACAATGCACACAGCACGGATGGTACACGTAGCATCCTCGCACAAACCCAAACCAGAACCTAAATCACAGCATAAAACAAGTAGCCGAGAACGATATCGTTTTGATTGTGGTATCTAATCATCCTCGCAAATAGCGATCGAGCACTCCATAGGCGACGAGAAGAGAAAAACCTGTGGGGGCATCTACCAGTTCAACGAGTTCTCTCCCAAGATCGGCGTGGAAATCATTCCTGGCATAACAGTTCTGCGCTCCCTCATTCCAGCATCCGGGCTCATCGGTGCACCATAAGCGACATCGGCATCGCGCAACGAATCGGCGGCGTAGTAGAAACTCCTTCTGCGCTGCCCCCCCAAGCTGTCACGGTCGAAGTCCTGGCCCTCCGGCCTAGCACCAATGTACTCCGCGTTGTCGGTGGGTTCGATCAGACGCCTGTGCGCCAGCTCCCTACGTTGCTTGACGGCGCGAATCACAAGGAAAATAAGGACGATGACTGTGATACCACCCAACGAGCTGACGACCCCAATGATTGCGTCCTCTCTAGTCTTGGACGACGAAGAGCTTGTGGTACCGCTGTCGGGAGACGAATCATCGCCATTACCGCCTCCGCCACCATTTGGATTCGAACTCGAGTCCTCATCCACCGCAAACGAGGGGTCCACCTGCGCTGCCAAATCACTGTAAGGGCTGGGAAGAGCAGTGTAAAAGCTCGACTTCGGATTCCTGATCTGCTGTGCGAGATTAACAACCTGATTGCTTGGGATCCAGGCGATATACAGGGTCAACAACTGGTATTCATCCGCAGGACCTGTGTAGGAACTGGGCTCCCAGACTCGCAACGCATACTGCATGATCTCGGTTGCTGAGAAAAAATACGGGTTAATACACATAGCATTTCTTCTTTACTAGTGTAGACTTACAGCTGATGTTTAAAGATGTGTATAGAAGGGCGGGCATCCATGCAAAAATCTGCAGCGATGAATCCGTGTTGTTCGCGACTGTCACCCAATTCAGAGATGGTTCAAACAGGACACTGATCTGCGAGTAATTCGATGGAACCTGACTACTCGAGTAACCTCCAACCGGGTATATGATCTCCGCAAGTCCAGACGGAAGAGGAGCGGCGGAAGGGGTAGAGGTAGCCGTACTCTCGCCGGAGGGGATGGAAATCGTCGTCGTTGGCTGATCAGGATTGGTCAAGGATGAAGAATTCGCGGTAGCTGTCGTCGTCGGAGATGCAACTATCAGGGAAGAATCCGTCAAGAATGAGTATTGCGGTGCCACCGACGGCGTAACCTTCGGAGTTGACGAAACAGTTGTGAGGGACGACAAGTTGAACATAAACGAAGTCGATGAAGCATTCATTGGGAAGCTTATAATCGTCGTTGTAGCACTGGCACTAGTCGTCAGGGGCGTCGTAGTATTGGTCGAGTTGTGACTGTAAAATATTGTAAACACGATATCATGTAAGTAGATCAATATGAATTACCTCGGCGATGGTAGGACAGACGTCGGACCCGTCGAATTGTGACTAAATTGTTATTATTATGACATTACGTGAGGAGATCGGTAAAATTTACCTTGGCGACGGCAGAGTCGTCGGACTAGTTGTACCGTTCAATCAAATGATTAAGAATTAATAAGACACTGAACTCACGAAGTTGAGGGCGGAGTGGGTGCCGAATGAACGGTAGTATTGATCGCCGCTGTAGTGGGAATGTTGACTGTAGTGTTTGAAGTAGGTGCTACAATAGTCTGGCCCGTTGGGGTAGTGGAGTTGAACCAAGTCGTCGGCACAGTTGTAGTTGTGTTACCCGGAGAGGGGCTTGGTGAAAAGCCTGAGGTCGTCATGGTTGTCGGGGAACTTGAGCAAAGGAGATCGCCAAGCAAGCAGGAACCGGTTGTCGTTGGCGTCGCAGAGGTAGTGGTCGATGAAGCCGTCGCACTAGTAGTTGGCGAGGCAGATGCAGTCGAATTACCAGTTGGGCAATCACCCAGAAGGCCAAGTAGGCATGGGTCTGTCGACGTCGGCGACGCCGACGGCGTACCACTCGTGTTCACGCTAGTAGGACTTGAGGCCGTCGTTGGCGCCGTGGAAGGGATGGTCGATGAAGTCGTCGCACCAGTAGTTGGCGAAGCTGATGCAGTCGCAGTGGAATTACCAGTTGAGCACTCACCCAGAAGGCCAAGTAGGCATGGGTCTGTCGACGTCGGCGACGCCGACGGCGTACCACTCGTATTCACGCTGGTAGGACTTGAGGTCGTCGTTGGCGCCGCGGAAGGGATGATCGATGAAGCCGTCGCACTAGTAGTTGGCGAAGCTGATGCAGTCGCAGTGGATTTTCCGGTTGAACATTCACCTAGAAGGCCAAGTAGGCATGGATCTGCTGACGTCGGCGATGCCGACGGCGTACCACTCATGTTCGCGCTAGTAGGACTTGAGGTCGTCGTTGGAGCGGCGGAAGTGATACCGGATGAAGCCGCCGCACTAGTAGTTGGCGAAGCTGATGCAGTCGCAGTGGAACTACCAGTTGAGCATTCACCTAGAAGGCCAAGTAGGCATGGGTCTGCTGACGTCGGTAATGTTGACGGTGTACTACTCGCACCCACACTAGGACTCGACACAGCCGGCGAAGACAATGCGGAAGTCAAAGCGCCTGACGAGGTCGGTGTTGATGTTGGAGAAGAACTGGAAGGGGTACAATTACCGAAGATGTCGAAGAAGCCGTGGGAGCACGAATTAGCAGGTGAACTACTGGGGGCGCCTGACGTGGTAGCGGTGTCCGTCGCAGTACCTGAGCTCGTCGGCGTCGACAACGTACCAGGATTGGAACCTGTTGATGCTGGAGAAGACTTCGGGATTGTACTAGAGGAGCAATGACCAAAGAGATCAAGAATGCAAGAATCACCGGTCGTTGGCGACGCGCTACCCTGGCTCGAGGGCGATAATGAAGTCCGGGTAGCAGCACTAGTCGTAGGCGGCGACGATAGACTAGACCCAGTGCTCGTGGGCGCGGGTGACGATGACCCATCACTAGGGGCACCCGTCGATGCTGGGGAGGATCTCGGACTTGTAGTAGGACAATCAATGAGGCCAAGTAGACAGGGACCATCGAACGCTGATGACGTGCTACCCTGACTCGAGGGCGAGGATGAGGCCTCAGTGGGAACACTAGAGGTCACTGGCGGCGACGGTGCACTAGATCCAGTGCTTGCAGTCGTAGGTAACGACGGCGTACCAGATCCTGTCCCAACAATCTTACCCGCTGAGCTGGTACCAGGAATTGGAGGGACGCCAAAAGTCGGGGTTCCGTTGGCAGGGGCAGCTGAAGATGGCGCTGCGGGTGAAGGGGTAGAAGTTGTCCCAATCGATGTCCCCGAACCTGCGTCTGGTGGTGTCGAGGTCGCGGCTGGCATTGTTGTAGTACCAGTTAAAGCATTGCCCACTTGACTGACGCCGGAGCCGAGAAAATTGACTATCAAAAAAGATGGTCAACACCTGATCAATAGTGATATTGTAGGGATAAAATTGAATGGAGTATAAATAGACGAGATAAAATTTGACATTCGAGGACAATGCAGGACAAGCTTTCGAATATCTGTGGAGGTCTATCGCACATACGCCATGATCCACGACCAATGAATCCTCTGCTTTGCGCACAGAATGATATGCACCTACAAAATTCCATGCCAACGACAGCGTCTCACACAAAGGTGAGAATTGAACAATAACCTGCCGAAAGGAAAGTAGCCTGCGCGAAGCGCGCAAGGGCATGGCAGGGTAGGTGTTCTAAATGTTACCGTCGACCCGTGAATGATACCCGGTCGATACAATCACGTAACATAGCACAATGCAGCAGAGAGAATGCGTGTAGGCACGTCACAGAGCTAATGTCGACTTTGAACCCCGACAGGGTACGAAGGACCCTGACCATGCAAAAATACGCTGTCAGGCTGTACCATGCCAGACCACAGCTATAGCGGAACGTTCGCAAAAACAAAGAGACAATAATATCTTCTAAGAGGCGAATGATGCTCACCTAACGATCCTAGATCACTACTATCACCGAAGCCCAGGGGATCGCCATCCCCAGGCTCCACGGCTTCAGAGCGTCTGTTGAGGAGAGAACGTCGCGCATGGGAAGCACGGTAGGAAGAATGCGTAAACCCGTATACAGGAGAAAGCTGGAGAACGAAAGCAAACAAGAAGGCAGTTAAGAGAAGATGGCGGAAGGTGGAAAACATAGGTGCTGGTCTTGGTTACGAGGCGAGCAAAATTCAAGCAGTGCGTTGCTATGCTGCTAGTAAGCAAGGAAGGCGAGACACAATTGATGAGTGTCTGCCAGATGGAACGAGCGTGGTGCTGCTATGGTGGGCAGGTCGAGGACGAGGACAAGAGGGTCGGTGAGACAGGGACGGGAAGGAATAAGTTAGTCGGGGTTGCGCGCTGGGTTGCGACTGGTTGCGACGGTTGGGCTCTGATGGCAAGATGCTTTGTTCTTATTTGAGACTTGCCAATTTAGGCGCGCGTCGTCCAGCCAAAGTTCAGATGCGTCCGACGATCAGACAACGTTCACACGTGGACCCCGGCGTTGAACAGTCTAATGTCATAACTGTGAGACTCGACAGATGATTGTTTGAATGGAGGTCAGCGTTGTGTTCCAGCTCGTCCACCTCGCTGGCCCTCGTCCACTGGGGACACGAGCCGAGCGTAGCTGTGCAGATATTCACACGGGAAGGAACCATCTCAGATCAGCATCTATCACCCGGCCGACATGGCAGATTTGTCTCTATCATAATTCTTGATTCCAATTTGCTCTCAAGTACCGTCCGCATTACACTCTGAGGTCGCTCTTTAAGGGGCTGCCTAGGGGAGACTAGTTTGGGAACTAGCAGTCTCAGTGGCAGGCAGCGTCGCTCGATGCAGAGGAAACAGCATAACTTGTAGGCATGAACAACGCATACACAATGACATGATCAAATGTATAGGACACAATGATGCGGCGGCCACACTGCCGCAGGACGGATGCTGGCAACTCAGTTCCGCATGTGCTTAGATAAAGCCGATCTATGTAACAAGTATTATACCGTATTGTTACACATCTAAAAGCAAGACAAACCTTGTTCGCGACATCCAATGCGTCGTGGTCTGGGGTCAGCCTGACATATGCCTTTTTCTTGCCATCAGGGCTAGAAGTACACCATCAGGCACTATACCAATCTATATTCAGTATACATCGTACCGGATGAGCGTGTTAACTTTGGCCGCCTGTACATCGTACAGCTTCTTCACAGCGTCCTTAATTTGACGCTTGTTCGCCTTGATATCAACAATGAAAACGAGAGTGTTGTTGTCCTCAATCTTCTTCATTGCTGACTCGGTGTTTAATGGCCTGGTATGCGCGTCAGATCTGCCTCGTTACTCAGTGAAGAAGTACCTACGAGACGATAGTCCGAAATTGATCCATCCGGGGTGCATGCGGAATAGACTTGCGAGGATACTTGGGATCACGGGCGAGACGGAGAGTTTTAGGGCGGCGGAAGGAGACAGAAAAGCGCGTTTTGCGCGCGCCGTGCGCATGCGTGCCCGCCAACGCCGCTTTCTTTGCTGCCTTGGCCTTAGCATCTTTCGATGATGCTGAAGAAACACGATCAGACTGATGCAATATAGGACATTCAAGCGAAAAAATCACCCTTAGCAGGCGCCTTCCCCTTCGCAGTCTTTGTTGACGCCATTGGATATCCCTGTCTAAGGGGAATTCGGGTCGTCAGTAATCCTGAGATAGAAAGCCAGGGGTAGAGAGAATGAAAGAATGGGTGCCAGCTGGTTTCCTTTTCAAACCTCCACTCTGCACACGGCTGCAGGAGACATTCCGCCAAAGCGATACACCACCCGACCTCTATCTGTCATCCCACTGTCGGCCACAGCATCCACCCATTCTCTTCGCCACTTCTTCCATTCTGATATCCCCCAGCAGCAAAACTTCGTCCCAAAAACGACTAGGGCTCGATGCCAGTGCCAAAAAGACTCACCTTGATGTTGGGGGAATGCGACTCTTGTTCTTGTGGATGGAAGAGGGATTGCAGCGCTATTCGGGACTTTCCGAGTTGGGAAGGCGGTTAAGCGCCTGTGAACCGGGCTACACCTCCTACTTAAGGCTCACAGTCTAATGATAATTATTCATGCCATTCACTGCAGCTGACGTCTGACGAATATCGTTCCTATGGCTCGGAACAATCTTCCTGTGCTCGAATTTGAGCGGACGCGACTATCCGCATGGGGAGTTCATATTGGAATACTAATGCCATGCGGAGTAGTGGTGAGGGAGAACAAACTTGTCGTACAATTTCGTGAGTGGCCAGCACATGCATCCGCTTCCGGATTAGCTAGGTATTATCCTGATCTCTCGACCCGCTCACACGTTGTAAGAACTTCAAGCGCCCCGTTGGTTTCGGTAGCCCCTGGGTTTCTAGTGCCCCTGAGGTGAAAGCGCCTGGCGTCGCAATCTCTTGACAGCCGCTAGGCCCCATAAATCGAGTAGTACGTCAACGAGATGTCAGTTCATACTCTGTCCTCTAATCACGAAGATGTGCCGGTGGTTTGCGTACTTGTCGAAGTCCGAGCCTTGCCTACTCGAAGACGTACTCATCGTTCCTGCACACTCTTTATCTAATCAGGTGCACGACCGCTACTTGCCTGGTTTATCTCACTATGAGCCGGATGTAAACAAGCAACTAACAAAGGCAGAGATAATGACTCGCAACAGCGCTTATGACATGGATGGCTTAGGGATGGGTTGGTATGTGATGCTTACTCGATTTTCAAGTATTTTTGCTCACTAGTTGCTTCATTCAGGTACTCATCCACCCGCGCTGAGTATGGAGAATGCGATGGACCCTACCCAGCACTGTATAAGTCCATACGCCAGCCAATGACAGATTCCATCTATAAATCGATCTGCGCCAATACCTCTACTCACGCCCTCTTTGCGCATATCCGAGCTGCCAGCGGAGAATCTGCGATCAACGAACATAATTGCCATCCGTTCCAGTTTGGACGCTGGCTTTTCATGCATAACGGGTCGATCGCGCATTTTGACAAGATTAAGCGCGAAGTTTTGTTGGCTATCTCAGACGAGGCGCTGCAACAAGTCAAAGGGACGACAGACTCGGAGCATTTCGCCGCGCTGTTCTTTACATACCTGGACAAGAATCGACGGGGAAGGGCGTGGATGACTTCCCAGCCACTCAGCGACGCGAAATGTGCGTTTGAGGGAGCAATCACTAGGATACTTGAGATCCAAAACCAAGTGATGGGCCGGGCTGGTGCGCAGGTCGAAGCGTCGAGCTTGAACTGCGTCGTCACGGACGGCACACAGCTTCTAGCCATTCGATTTCGCAATCATTCGACAGAGCATCCGCCCTCACTGTATTTATCCACGCGAGCTGGCGCTACACTCAATCGAAAGTATCCTGGGCACCCTAATCATGTAGAGGAAAGTGGGCAGGGTGACTTAGGAGATGAGAGCGAGCATGGAGAGCATGTTATTGTGGCCAGTGAGCCGACGACATACAAGGAGAAAGAGTGGGAGCTCATTGGGAAGAATGAATGCGTTATGGTTGGTGTCAACATGGTACTTTCACAAGTCTCGCTTGATATTCCACTTTAATTGGCGTATCTATTTGATCTCTTCATAAATACTCAGATTGGGTAGATCTTGTATTTTTTTCCCATGGAACGCGTAAGCCTGTTTTAAACGAGTAGTTCTTGTTATCCGACTAAGCTGCGTTATCGAGTTGAACTTGAGCTGATCACCCCAGACTCAGTGCGTATTGGGTTACGCACGACTGCGATCAGTGCATGCGTCACCCAGACAGCAGTGACTGATGTGGGTCTAGGCTTGTACCCAGCTGTTCTGACTTTTGAATTGCGCTGCGAAAGCAGCTCGTTCGTCAGAACGGCTGGGCTAACTCGCCTGGGTGTGGTCGTCGAGGCGTGAGAAAAAGGACCTAAAGAAATCGAGCGGGTGCTCTGCTCGACGAACGCACTGCGATGATCGTTCATTCATCGTTTTCAATATGAAATGCTATTCGTGCTACACAACATCATTCATGTCTGGCCTGCGCCACTGCGGTGCGTTTGTGCGTCATCGTCTCAATCGAACGTGTACTTACTCAAGTTGGCTGGCTATTCAGTGACATCGTACTACAAAATTGGCTAGTGAATCCCACCGGAAAGCCGAACGCGTTCGTTGAAGTAGAGTTAATGCAAGAGCATCTCAATTATTAGGCAAAGGTACTGTACGCCGATAATCATGGTATATGCCCCTGCTGAATATCTGATCTGTCTGGCGCTAGCTCGTCTACAGTGCGCACGGGAGTAATGCTTCGTGGCAATGGCTCAGTATGGTCACGCCTTGCATCGATATTCTGCACCAACTCATGACACGCGTTAACGAAGAGCTTGGCACGCACCAAGGATTGAAGCACACGATACCAAACTTGGACCATGATATCCGAGAGCTTATGCGCTCACTACACGAACATAACGTTTATGTGATCGAACCGGGGTGGACCATAGACTCTGAGAAGCCTATGGTCCCCAATATTGTCAATGTGGGCATCAATCTGATGGGAGGACCGCTGAACAAGTTCAATTCCCTCATGTCGCAACTTCGAACCCGAGCACGAAGTGCTCCCATTGTGGGCGAATGCTATTCAGGGTCGGGAGCGGATGGCAGCATTCATGCCCTACCAGTCGCTCTCGAAAATGAGGTTGGAGACGATGCATGGGATATGGATGCAGAGCATCCAGCCGTTGACCTTGATCCTTACTTCAGGGCTCTTGATGAAAACGGCGGATTTCCCAAGGCATTGCTTGCGTTGGAGACTGCGGAAGACCCGGAGCTGGATGAATATGGTATGTATTGATTGGTATATACACAATCCGTGGCTATTTTTGGGGGAAGAAATATATACGAAGCTTGAGCTGCTCTGCGTGCATTCAAGAGAGAACGCGACGATTTCATTCAGTCCTTTTTCTCACGCTTCGAAGTACAATCCACAGTCAAGTCAGCCCAGTCGTTAGAACGTGTTCTTCGTTTTCGCACTCAGAATCTCCTTTTTTTAAAAGCAAGAATCAACGAAAACGGTAAGAACATGTTCTAAGTCCGACTGGCCTGCGAGTCTAATGTGGATCTCTGACTCGACGTGAGATCCGGCACCGAGGTACGCTCCGGGCGATGCAGTGCTGTGGTTTGGGTACGAGACCAGTGCTGTGGTACATGTGGAGCTGAAGTGTGAATTTGAAACTCAAACGGTCGAGGGAATTCGAACCCCCAGTTCCCTATTGATTATATGTTATTTGCCGTCGTCGAAGTCGCGGTTACATTTGTCTCGCTTCGAGTCATCTCTGACATTCCGTGTGGCATGGCATGGATATAGCGTCCGGGTTTTACCACGGTCGGCTTATCATATATCAGGTGTTCCAGTCTAACCTCCAGTAGTGTGGAGGTTCCTGCCATCAGCGTCCTAGGCGTCACGACAACAGCCTGATGGTCATATGTATTTAACTCGAACGCGAGCAGATGTAGACTCGCAGACGCAGCCGAGTCATTTAGGCACTCCCCAGCTATCGTGCATTACTTAACCTCTTCAGCACTGCATGGCGAAGTTCGTCCCGGACGTATCGCAGGCTGTTCTTGCTCAACATGGAAGCAATGACTCATTCTTAATATTCGGACTCATCGAGAGCTTACCGGCGCAGTGAGTGTTCTGGCCGCTCGAAAAATGACACTGATGTAGAGACTTCGTGTAGTCGTAGCGTGGACTACCTAAACACATTCTTTTTCCCCGCATACGCGGCGACTGCGTCTGTCATCATAGCATCCCTTCATGGTCTCCTTGCACGCATGAGGATATCAAAATCCCAAGATACCAGTTCTGCTGGTGTCTTACGGGCCGACGACTTAGCAGAAAACAATGCGTCTACAGTCGGACGCCAGAGTGGCATGGCTATTCTGGCCTTCAATATTGCTCGAGCTCTCGCGTGCTTCGCTTTGCTGAGCATGTCTCTGTACTCAGTAATTGTCAGGAAGCCTGTGGAAACGTATGGGATCGGCGTAAGCACGATCTGGCCTTACATTGGGCTATGTGGAACTTTTGTAAGTACTTTATTTCATGAGTATGACATTGGGTATCAAATGTCACATTACAGATGTACACCTTTATATTGGCCCTTATGACAATGCTAGCCAAACCAGCGACAACCGTAATCGCTTCTCGTCATCTCAATGCCGTGTTGCTTACCGCTTGGGTGGTGTATATGTATCGAGATGTCTGGCCCCTCGTGACGTTTACTCTGATCCCTATGGATGCTGTAGAAGGACGTATTTTGTGGGCCAAAGTCGTCACCCTCACTTTTGGAGCTGTGATCGTCCCCTTACTCGTGCCACGGCGTTATGTGCCTGTTAATCCTAAAGTAGCTATTTCCCTCATTCTGGGGGGATTTGATTTGAGCATTCTTGATTTAGGGCGCACCAACGGAACCGAGTCCTGAACAGACTGCATCTCTGCTATCTGTGATACTGTACTCTTGGTTGGATAAGACCATCGTTGACGCCTATCGACTTCCTCACCTCCCTGTTGACAAGTTCCCTCCGTTAGCCGACTCGGATCAATCCCAATATTTGTCTGCACAGACATCTAAGGTGCGTTTGGTGATTGTACCATTAGAGAGAGTCTTGATTTTTCACTATTCAGGAACTTGATCCGTTTCAAATGACGAATAAACGGAGACATATAGGCTGGGGACTGATCAAGGTGTTCTGTAAGCAGAGATTCTCCCGCCAAGTTTGGTATATTTCTTACTTGGTTATAGACTGGGAGATTTTTACCATGATTTGTGCGATCACAGCAAACGTCAGTAAAGGATACATCAACGTCTTGGTGATGAATGCTGACAATGAACAGACATTTACACATTTTTTGAGTCCTCTAGGAATTAGAAACTTACTTCTGTACGCTATCTATTTCGATCGCTCACTCAGAGCGAACTGACGAGTGGCCATAGATTCATGGAAACCGGGGGTGAAGGTGCCATTGTGCGCCCGTGGATATGGGCATTATCATTGTTCTTGGGCCCATTCCTGCGTGCTTCCACCTTGTCAATGTATATGCTCCCCTGGGTAAGTCCTGTTTGTCATAACTCGACCAATCTTAGCTCATAATTAATGCTAGACTACCGTTTTAACTCGCACTGAGGCGATTCTTACCCACTTGGTTTTTAACCATGCACTGCGAATGCGAATCAAGGCTGAAATTTCAGAAACGTCGATAAACGAAGTCTCAGTGAAGGGAAAGCAGAAGTCAAATGACACGTCGTCAGTCGGCAGTGGCTCTAACAACAGGCGGGAGCAGAAGAACGTGACCGGAAAGATCAATAATCTCATCACCTCGGATCTTGGTTCTCTCGAGAATGCGAGGGATCTTTTACTAATATGTAAGTGTGATATAGAGCGAGTATGCCAGCTTCTTCTGAACAAGGTTGTTAGTATTGGAGGTACCTTTGCAGATTATTTTGAGTATTTACTTCCTCTATGTTGTTCTCGGATGGAGGTCAGTGCCTGTTATTTTATCACTGTTTTCGTCACTAAATTTTGTTGTGTAGTGCCTTTGCTGGGCTAGCTACTATCGTTATACTATTCCCCATCCCAGGGAAGGTTGCAAGCTATATCAAGAGTGCCCAGAAAGAGAAAATGAAACAGGTAAATCTTCACTTCTTAGCCCCTTTCTGCCTAACATATACTCCTGCTAGACGGATGCGCGAGTGCAAAATGTCACAGAATGTATGCATTTTTAAGATCAATTGCGTCTTTTCTCTGAATTCCTGTCGCCAGCTATTTCTGTGATCCGCATGATCAAGATGTTCGGATGGGAACCGAAAATGGTGGAACAGGTGACCGAGAAGAGAGAGCTTGAGCTGAAGTGGCTCAGGAGACATCGCTTGTTGAGACTTGC